ACTCCGAGCCGACCAGTCCTTGTTTTAGCCCCTTAATGCGGAGCGCCAGACAGGGTAACAACAAGTACCATCTTTAAACGTCTTTTGGTATGACGCGGTCGGGGATCGAACCCCGGACCTTCCGCTCTCCGGGCGGACGCTCTACCACTAGACCACGGAGGCGGTCGTAAACATAATGGAAATTGAATGAGACGGTATATTTCAAGGTTCTGAGACAACAAGGGGCTTCTCTATCTCCGTCAATGAGCCATGTAACGTCATCAACTTGATGTTGGGTTTAGAACCCTTGATTTATTTTCTTCGCTTTCGGTTCCAGATTTAATTTAAACGTCAGACCCTCTAAATCTGAGGTAGCATTGCTCTACATTAGCGTCACTCTATTTGGAACTGTGGTATCGGTGCGCGTTACAATTGATGCAGGGGGAAAGCCCGCACTGATTGTTTTACATATCACTGTGACCTCTAAAACAGCATGACAGCATGAGCACAGATCCGGGTTCGATGACACACAAAATGCCAGGTCAAGCGATTGTATCCCCGTAATCCTTATACGTCGGCTAATACTGGGAGATTGAATAAGTTTGGTTTAAACCTCCTATGAACAGTTATATCACTATCGTGTCAGCGTTAAGTGGGAGGAAAGCCCAAACTGATTCATGTCTTAGACGTTTTCCACGAAACCCTGAGCACTGTAAAGGTACAGACAAACCCTGAAACGTAATCAGGGGGGTTGCATTGAAAGCATTTACAGTTACAGCCATGTATAACGTGATCCATAACATATGTGATCGGAGACCGCCTATGTTATGGCCATTAAAGCCTAAAGGAAAATACGTTCTTTGAAGTTCGATTTTCATACTTGTGATGTGATGGTGGATCGATAATTTGTGGCTGCATATTGCGTTAGGCAAGGTGATCAATTCCTTTTACCATTATTCATACCAGCCCATTGCAGCGATATCGAACCTTGAAGAAATATCAATACTATCGCACTTTTCAAATTATTGTCAATTTGGATTTTGATAGAACGCGTGCTTTGATATTCTTACTCAATTGAAATTGGAACTGAATTACTGGCAAAAAAATTGGAAGTCCTTTTTTTAATATCAGTGAGTGAGTCAATAAGTGAGTTGGGTTTAACAGTATTTCAGTTACATGACGGCGTGTCAACTTGATGTGCGAGAAAAGCCAGAAGTGATGCACATCTTAGACCTTTACCACTTTGGTGAAATCAACAAGTACGGGCATGGTGCTGACAAACCTACATTGTAGATAAATAATCATGGAGACCCGGGATTGGAAGCCAAAATAATAGGTTTCTTGCCCGTATAAGGGAGGCAACACTGCACAACAAATTGCGGCGCTTTTGACGACTCGTGTTCTCTTTTTCATATGAAGCACACACAAGATAATCCCAGTAAATATGTATTTAAATCATTCAGATTATTCTATTAGTTCTTGCATTAAATAAAGAATATGGTTAATTCCCAAAAGACCTTTTTCTGTTACAGGGAAACAATGTTTATCCAGAATATATTTTCTGATCAAGGACATACATCTTCATCACAGGAGGACACATATTTCCTTTGCCTTGATTCTGGATGCTCATGCTATCAATCACCTGCTTGGACGAGATGTTTCAGAGGTCACTGTGATACAGGTGGAAAACAGCTGACTGCGGTGTAAACAACATCTCACAAATAAACTGTCGTTTTCATTTAATCATATAAAAGTCAAATATAACTGCTTGTCTTAACGAAATCCTAGACATTTTCCGTCTGGATTGTTTCTTTACATATGTAAACTTTTGATACGCCTGCACTTCAGACACCATCTTATTTGTTTTGTCTGACTGGATAAAAACCGAAAAGTACATATACGTGTGTTAAAGAATGGGCTGTTTTCTCTTGTAATTTGAGCCATGTATATGTAGATTTTGTATTTTTTTACGTGTCGATTACCAAATTGAAACAATATGTTAATCCAGATATCTGTACGTTAAAGAAAATGTGAAACCAATAAACAACCAACAAGTGGTATACAATCAACAAATGTATTACAAAAACTCACCAAGTTTGCAAATACAAGTTACTCCACAGCAATTACAATGGCAGTAATCAATAGAGCGGTAGTACAATATTCAATGACAATAAATAATATCGGGGCAGTGGTCAGTATCAAATACAAAATACACTGGTGATGGCAAAAGTCAGTGATATTATATATATTCATCCAGTGGTGACAGTGGTCAAGCTTTCGCGATGGGCTAGACAGGGAATCAGGGACGGTGAGCGATCCTCACATGAAAGCGGGTATCGAAGCGATGAAAGAGAGTGAGAGAGAAACTATACTTTATTGCACTACATATGGGGGTAGAGCAAACTTTATTTCTTAAATTTTAGAAATAATTTATTTTTAAAAATGCCTTCCGAAAATGACTGCGAAAGAAATATGTTTAAGTACATTAACTTCTACGAATACGGTGATGCTGTCGTCAAATCAGCCGTTTCAATCAGAGGTGGTTATAGTTGTTTGAAAACTGTGATCGAGTGTTTCCTAAGTCATCGTAGAATCACATTTTAACGGCTGAGATTAATTGATATTAACAGAATGTGCATTCGCTGTAGTGGTGACATAGTGTCACTCATTTACCATACTAGGTGTGAACCCCGGATAGTTTCCCAGAGGGAAAAAGCTACTAAACTGCACCACAGGGCCCAACTCGTTGATTTTGGTTGATTTGGGGTCATTGTACCCGGAAGGCGTGTTACGTTGCTCGACTTACCGACCACTAGTCTGTCTGACCCAGACACCGGAGAGCGGTAGGTCGGTGGTTCAATACCCTGGCCACGTCGTACATAAAGACGTTAAAAGATGGAACTTGTTGTTGCCCTGCCAAGAGATCGACCCCAAAGGGACACATCAAGGACGTCGACAGTATACTGTGTTTGAATTGGGTATCAATGTTAAACAGCGACATGGTATCTCAGTGGGCTGGCGCTATAAATCTAGAAATCTGGAATAGTACAAACAGTCACACACATATGTGCATGCATGTCGCTTTATAAATGCAATAATTTTGAACACGACGTTAAACCCCCTTTCAGTTCAGTCTCTTTACCAGACTCGACTACCGCGATGTATTCGGAAATCTACTGACTGCGACGTCAAACAACACATACACAAACAGAAGTGTTTATATACTCCATCACAGCTAATGGATATGAACAATCCCTTTAGTCACATTTATTCAGAGATAGTGGTACCCCAGGTTAATAAGTGTATATACACTGAAATATTTCCATTGATGTCGTAATTCAACATAAATTGATTTTGACACACCAGTGATTATAATCGATCTAGTTTATATGGATGCTTCTCAAAGTTGTGCTTCCCTGTGATCATTCTGTTACAGCGAAATAAGTAGGCTTCCAAGGTGTGCTTGACCAAGCATGGTACTTTCATGTCGTGTACCCTAACAGATAAACTGATAAGTGGGATAGGACCAATTCATTCCAGCTGGTAAAGTTTCATTTTTAGGGCAGTTTTGGCTTTGTATTGATTCTGTAGCTTCCAGCGTACGTTTATTGTTCATGCTCTTTAAATGGCCTGTGATCTGAAGTGGCGGTCGGTTGAATTTGGCACATCGCGTATTCTGCTGGTGAAAAAAAATATTTCTTTTCTCAAAAACAGAATGGGTAAGTTTATAACCTTCTCAATTCAATCAGTTGAACTATATAACCGTCGTTTTTTGGTATAATATATCAATTTGATAAATAATATTTCCAAGACACGACACGCGAACTATCAAACAGGATTTTTAATTGATCTCTTCATGCTTTTATCCCGAACGTCTTTCTTTCAGTTGAATAACTTTTATTTCTTGTGCTTCAGTCTTTGATAAGTCAAAAGTAACTATAACTTGTATCAACTTAATTTATCGAAATACACCCACACAGTTACTTGATATTAATGTGGTTTGAATTTTTTTAAAGTTTGGTAACGTAGATGTCGATTAGTATTATGTTTCCATTGATTTGAGAGAAATTGTTCATTATTTGTACCATGTACCTGTAAGAACGATTTCTTCTCATTTGTCCAAAATATTAAGCTGATTTAGATCTGTCGCCCGTACAAGTAATCATTTAAGAAGAGAGAGCATGTCATTTGTTACGTGTCGATTCCCAAATTGAAACAATTTGTTAAACCAGAAATCTGATAGTAGAGAATTTATTGGGAAACCAACAACAACAAAAAAATGGTATACAATCAACAAATGTATTACACGATTAACTAGGTTAACAAATTAATACAACTTACTGCACAACAATTACAATGGCAGTACACAATGGAGTGGTAGTACAATATTCAATGGTGCGCTGTGATTTTGTGTGGAGAATAGATTCTTAAGCTACAGCTGCAAAACCAGATACATTTTAAAGGGAAAAAACACCTTGCAGTGTTTGTTTTTTTATGGAGGACAATATGTATCTTTCAACAGCCTGAAGCATAATTATTTTTTATCAAGAGATTTGTGGGAAACGTTTTGTTTCCAATGAATTACTGAAAATAATTTGATCTGTAAATATGTCATATATAAGTTACAGACATTGTTACTTATCTGTTGTGGACTGTGAATTTTTATTAATGTCTATACTGGTACATTAACCAAAGGTGTTCACAGGTTGAACTCATCCCACAGTGAACATGTTGTGAACATGAGCCAATGAACCCTTTTTCATACGAGGGTTGATAAGTTCAAAGCCTCACAGGTGGAATTGCGTAATAGTGAAATCTTTTGCTGTGAACATTACAAGATGTCAAAGAGGTATATCCACAAAGATTTGAGTCAGTTAAGTAAATTGAGACATCAGTAAAATAAGCAGGGGTCTTTTGGAAAATAGACAAACTTGAGATCTAGAAACGTGCAGTGATAAAGTACTTGCAGAAAAAGGGCTTAACACAAGGAAAGGATGCCCCTTACTATGCCAATGTAAAAGATGTGGGCGGCAGTGTGTGGCAGGGAAAGCCTTGAAGACGATCTGTACGACCCCGTCCTGGGTGGCCTGTTACGTCAGCGACACCAGGAACGATTCGTGTCTAGTGATGATCCACCTATTTGAAGCTAATCAAGAAAGGTTCTTGCAACGATTTGTGACAATGGTTGAATACTGGGCTCATCGCTTCAAGCAACATTCAATCATAGTCAAAAAACTAATCAAAACAGTTTTTGAGAATAACATCACCACCACCAAAGAAGGCAATGACTTCTGTCCCATCAACTCGCATACAATACTATGATACTCATATCTTGTATTTTGTTATTTTAGATTGGATGTTACATGTATGCATGAAATCACAAATTAACTGTTAATTATTATCGATAAATATTTTTATGTTAGACAAATCAAGCACACTCTGTGTGAATTAATGTATTCATACAATACATTCATATTCCTTTAAAATCATTATGACTTTCTCCATGTACTAAAGACAGTTTAATCTGTGTTAATAGAGCTGCTGTACACAAACGTTTTCCTCCAGAACTCGTGAGCAATGTTTCAAGGAGGGAAGTAACATTAAATGTTAAAGTAATTGCATAACGAGATCTCACGAGTGCGTGACTTCATTCAAGATGGCGGCGTAAAAGGCAAAATAGCGGCGACAATAATATGAATGGATTACTGACAATCAGCGATGACACCTAATGTACCTCGAAAAGGCTATGCATGTCCTGCTCTGTCTGTAGCACCCAACACATTTTACACTATAAAGTAAGGTTTGTTGCCTTATCCCATACAGGAGAACTCTTGCCATACGACGTCCGCCTGTAAACTGAAGAGTCTGGACCAGACAACCAAATGATAGGGCAACAGGTATTCAAGTGAAACAACTTTGTGGTTACTGATTTTGTTGAACCTAAAAACGATATGTTCATTTTGAAGTACGTATGTACATGACTGTAATGATTAACGTCGAATGTATTCGGTCAACATTTCTATCCTCGAATATCAGTTAACCCAATGTGGCGTTGACATAAGAAGTCTTAAGTGACAGTAAAGGCTTCCTCGTGTTCAGGTGAATAAGATCATTCTTGTGTCGGATTAAAAAGTAAGAAGAGGGCTGTCACACAGAACACTGAACATTCAGCGTATCTTAGTGAAATCTAATGAATGTGTCTCAAATTCCCTCTTGTCAACTTTGCCTTTATATCGGGCAATATTCCAGCAGTTCCACCCTTTGGGTCACACCTTTTGATACTATCGAGCATGCTTTTTCTACGTTTTCTATTTCAAAGTGCGCGTTACGAAGCTTGCTGAACAGTTGTTGATCAGGGTTACAGCATTCACTTAGTAAAGCTTTCAAAAAGTTTCATGGTAGAAATGTAGAGGGCAGTTCCAAATTTGATGCAACAGTGACCAAAACGCAATAACCAGTTTGACTTGTAGCATATGTCCCCGGGTTTGTTCAGGTGACTATTTGATTTGCCTTTGTATGTTTTTGTGACAGGTGAGGCAGGATACTGTTGCCTTTTCGCGAACCCATGGTATCTTCAATACTTGATATTGATTCATAAACACATGATATACATGTAGTCAGAATCGTGCAATGGACTCTGCTTTGAGCAGAGATGTCTTGGAATTATAAACTAGTGTCGAAAAGAAACGATACCACCTGTTTGCAATGACATAAAAGAAAAACTAAACAATGCAGAAGTTTAGGATTGGTGTTATGCTTTTGAGAAATCCTTTCACAACATCTGTACAAAAATTTCATTTCAATAAAATCTGTACAACCAATATGACAAGCCTTGAAAGATGGGTGGGGTCGAAAAATGAACATTTCGTTAGAGCACTGATCACAGAAACAACGGGAAATGTCACACCACACGTCTCAAAGTCAAGTCAGTAGCGGGTATGTCCACCGTGAGCATCAATACATGCCAGAACACGCCTACGGACTGATGACGTCAAACGTCTGATGACGTTGGGAGTGATGCGTTGCCATTCCTCGAGGAGACATCGTTCCAAGTCCTGGACGTTGACTGGAGGCACACGGCGACGTCGGATTTGCCGATCGAGGTGGTCCCATAAGTGCTCGATGGGATTCATGTCCGGTGAACATGCGGGCCATGGCAAAACCTGTACGTTGGCGTTGGCAAGGAAGTTCTGTGTCAATCTTGCTGTGTGTGGCCTTGCATTGTCATGTTGGAAAAGGAGTCCACGAAGCTGTTGCTGAATAAAGGGCACCACAACAGGCCGTAGGATGTCATCAAGATAACGCTGTGCATTCAGGTTTCCACGAATTACGACAAGCATCGTTTTGACGTCACCACATATGCCACCCCAAACCATTAACCCTCAACCTCCAAACGGCCGGACCTGTTGGATAAAGTTAGGCGCCAAACGTTCTCCAAATCGTCGGTATACAAGCTGCCGTCCATCGTTTCTGAAGATGAGGAATCTGCTCTCATCAGAGAACATAACACGTGCCCAGTCCCGCCGTTGCCAACGTCGAACTCGCCTGGCCAAGATCAGTCTGTTGTTCTGGTGTCGAGGCGTCAGGAGCGGTCCGCGGTAGGGATGACGTGGCCGGATACCATACTGCCGTAGTCTCCTGTAGACGGTCTGTCGACTGATCCTGTGTCCAAGTGCTGTAGCCGCCGTGGACGTCGCTGTTACGGTGCGGTTCCTCAGGTGTAATACCCGGATGTAACGATCTTCACGGGGCGTGGTTACTCGTGGTCTTCCACTCCTGGGCCTGTCTGACGTCTGACCTGTCTGACGTAACCGCTGCATTAACCTGAAGATAGTGATGCGTGCGCAGCCCAACCTTCTGGCGACGTCGACGTGTGACGCTCCTTGTTGGACCATTCCAACGGCTCTCTCTCTCTCTCGATGGCTGTCAAACGTGGCATATCTTGTGTTCTTTTTGTTGCTGTGATATCAACGTGTCTGATCAGCCGTTTTATACAGTTTTTCTGCACGTGCAGAACATGCTAGAGAGGGAAATGTCACTTTCACGAAATTTACGTTTTTTCCCGGAAGTGATCACGTGTTCCCGGTATTTTTTATCGACTATGCTGTGTTTGGGATGTGCAATACGAATTGGCATGTTTTCATACTTGACAATTCACTTAGTAAAAAACAATTTTGAAAATAAGTTGGTATCGTTTCTTTTGGACACTAGTTTAGAAAGGGTTTTGTCGCTTTTAGTTGATGCGGTTATTCATCATCTATTTAGTATAACCGTCCCAATTAGATTTAATTAATGACAATGTTTGCTAATATTTTGCCAAATATGGACATTTGTAACCACAGACCTTCCTGTCTCCGGGACTATACCCTATTCACTAAACCACGGAAACGGTGTTCCATACAAGAATTAAAGTAAAATAATAAACCTACATAGATAGACCGTTCCGTGGTCTAGTGGTTGAGCGTCCGCCCAGAGAGCGTAAGGTCCGGGTTTCGATCCCGGTCCGCGTCATACCAAAAGACGTTAAAAGATGGTACTTGTTGTTACCCTGTCTGTCATTCGGCATTAAGGGGCTAAAACAAGGAGTGGTCGGGTAGGAGTCAGTATACTGTGTTTGAGTGGGATATTCATGTTAAATTGCGATGTGGTATCTCAGCACTGTAAAATCGGCATTAGCCAAGGCTAGCACACACACACACACACACACACACACACACACACACACACACACACGCATGCACGTCACTATATAAGTACAATCAAAGTGTCCCCCAATACAATGCAAGCAATCCAGTCCTCTTTTCAAAATGCAATAACAGGCTTCATTTCGTTCAATATTTGTTGATCCAGTATTTAACAGAGGAAACAAATACTTACCCCTGTTGATTGATTGACATAAACATTGAAGTAAAGTTGTTTGGGGTGGTTAATATGATTCCTATTTCATTATCAATTGACACGCTCAGGGGCACAGGAACCTCCACCACCAACAGTTTGATAAGGAAAAGCTAATGACAATAAATCGACAAGCTGCGCGTTTGGTCCAAGCGAACGAATGCAATTCGACGTGGAGTGACAGCGTTTTCTGTGTATGAATGGTTTTCCTACCAAGACTCCGTTTAATCTGATTAAAGTGGCTGAAAGGTATACCCCTGTGCCTAGAAGTGTGGGAAATATTATGTTTTAAGGGCACATATCTTCACTGTGTTTGGTTTTGCCGTAGGTGAAGTTGTGAGGTGGTAAAACTCCCGTCCATGTATATGCCCGTTGGTGGAGATGACGTTGAAGCTATCACGCAATTGTTACGGTCATGTGTGCAAGGTCTGAAGGGATGAGTAAACAATTTTAAGAGAGCCATTGTTTCACAAGGGACTCAACTGTTATGGGGTTGAGTAAGAATTGTATTTGTTTACTTCAATAAAAGGCTTACCAAACATCTGGTTCTGCCCTTTTCGGTACTCATTTAACAGGCATTTCGTTCGTGTCCTCTCTGGGGTAATGCACGCGCCATAAACAAATGCGTCGAGCATCCTTAAATATGTTTGTGAATACATTACATGTACAAAGAGAGACACTTTACATTCAGGACAAAGACATTGACTAGTCCTTTTTAGGATAAAACATTCAGGACAAAGGAATTGACCAGTGTTTTATAGGAGAATACATTCAGGACAAAGGCATTGACCAGTACTTTATAGAAGAATACATTCAGGACAAAGGCATTGACCAGTACTTTAAAGGAGAATAGATTCAGGGTAAAGGCATTGACTAGTCCTTTATAGAAGAACACATTCATGACAAAGGCATTGACCAGTCCTTTAAAGGAGAATACATTCAGGACAAAGGCATTGACCAGTACTTTAAAGGAGAATACATTCAGGGTAAAGGCATTGACCAGTCCTTTATAGAAGAACACATTCATGACAAAGGCATTGACCAGTCCTTTAAAGGAGAATACATTCAGGACAAAGGCATTGACCGGTCCTTTATAGAAGAATTCATTCAAGACAAAGGCATTGGCCAGTCCTTTATAGAAGAACACATTCAGGACAAAGGCATTGGCCAGCCCTTTATAGAAGAATACATTCAGGACAAAGGCATTGACCAGTCCTTTAAAGGAGAACACATTCAGGACAAAGGCACTGACCAGTCCTTTATAGAAGAACACATTCAGGACAAAGGCATTGACCAGTCCTTTAAAGGAGAATTCATTCAGGACAAAGGCATTGGCCAGCCCTTTATAGAAGAATACATTCAGGACAAAGACATTGACCAGTCCTTAAAGGAGAATACATTCAGGACAAAGGCATTGACCAGTACTTCATAGGAGAATACATTCAGGGTAAAGGTATTGACTAGTCCTTTATAGGAGAATACATTCAGGACAAAGACATTGACCAGTCTTTTATAGGAGAATACATTCAGGGTAAAGGCATTGACTAGGCCTTTACAGGAGAATACATTCAGGACAAAGGCATTGACAAGTCCTTTAAAGGAGAATTCATTCAGGACAAAGGCATTGACAAGTCCTTTAAAGGAGAATACATTCAGGACAAAGACATTGACCAGTCCTTTATAGAAGAATACATTCAGGACAAAGGCATTGGACAATCCTTTAAATGAGAATACATTCACGACAGAGGCATTGACCAGTCCTGTAAAGGAGAATACATTCAGGACAAAGGCATTGACCAGTTCTTATAGGAGAATACATTCACGACAAAGGCATTGACTAATCCTTTGAATGAGAATACATTCAGGAAAAGGCATTGACCAGTCCTCTATAGAAGAATACATTCAGGACAAAGGCATTGACCAGTCCTTTATAGGAGAATACATTCAGGATAAAGGCATTGACTAGTCCTTTATAGGAGAATACATTCAGGACAAAGGCATTGACAAATCCTTTAAAGGAGAATTCATTCAGGACAAAGACATTGACCAGTCCTTTAAAGGAGAATACATTCAGGACAAAGACATTGACCAGTCCTGTAAAGGAGAATACATTCAGGACAAAGGCATTGACCAGTCCTTTATAGGAGAATACATTCAGGACAAAAGCATTGACCAGTCCTGTAAAGGAGAATACATTCAGGACAAAGGCACTGACCAGTCCTGTATAGGAGAATACATTCAGGACAAAAGCATTGACAAGTCCTTTATAGGAGAATACATTCATGAAAAAAACATTGGCCAGTCCTTTATAGGAGAATACATTTAGGACAAAGGCATTGACTTATCCTTTATAGGAGAATTGATTCAGGACAAAGGCATTGACCAGTGTTTTATAAGAGAATACATTCAGGACAAAGGCATTGGTGAGTACCAAATAGAAAATACACGTGGAACAACGGAATTTGTCAGGTATTTGCTGCAGAGCAAAATTGTAAATTACCATTCTTGAGAATAAAATTTCCAAGCTATTACCTATTACCCACTCAGCTGTTGATGCAGGACATCAGTTTAGCTGTGATGGCACTTAGGACTATGACATTTTCATCTTTGGACATTCTATTGAGGACACCGGTCAAATCTTTAGATCTCTAACAGCAGGGAGGTTAAGTCAGTTCGTTGTTGGATAAAGCAGTGATGGAAAAATATATGCGGTATGAGCCTTTTAAATGTCACGCCATCTGAAAATACTTCACATCTGTTAAGACTAGTTGATCATATTTGTCTCAAGTCCTCTATGATAATGAAATATCCTCCCCTTCAAACATAGAAATGTGGACGCGACTAAGACACGATTAGATGCCAGAAGTCAATGATTCAACAGCAAGCTTTCCGAGAGTTACCATATAGATACATGTGACAACATATATATCGTTAAGGCAAGGAATGGCACCTAGCATGCATGGCCATGGCCAGAAATACAGATTCAATCAGAGTTTCCTTGATCTGATCACCGTGTAGAGAACATAATCAAACTAAAATCCTACTTCAACCCTCTAAGGTGACGCTTCAATTCAATGATACTTCATGCTGATACAACCAAACTGCAAGGCGGAGATATGTCCAGGATCAATCCAGGGAACAAGTGATGTTGACTGGAGTAAGAGGCCCTCCTTGACCTGGAAGGCACACTCGATTTTTCAATCACGGAAATCAAATAAATAGGAGTTAGGGTTGCAGTTTTTATGTAGTGTTTGGTCATGATTACTGGTCTGAAGTGTAGTCAAAGTAATGAATACTGGTCTGAAGTATAGTCAATGTCATTCAAATTATGCCCCTCCATTTTTAACATAATCAATGAGGTGAAATGGGGTTTAACGTCGCGTCCAAGATTATTGCACTTATATAGTGTGTGTGTGCGTGCGTGCGTGCGTGCGTGCGTGCGTGCGTGCGTGCGTGCGTGCGTGTGTGTGTGGCTGCTTGTACTAGTCCGGACTGATGCCGATTTATAGTGATAGCACACTATGAATATCCTACTCAGACACAGTACACTGACTCCGAGCCGACCAGTTGTCGTTTCAGCCCCTTTAAGCCGAGCGCCAGACAGGGTAACAACACGTACCATCTTGTAACGTCTTTTGGTTTGACGCGGCCGGGGATCGAACCTCGCTCTCCGAGCGGACGTTCTACCACTAGAGCACGGAGGCGTTTTTTTTTATATAATCAATTCTCTGAACGTTTTCGATATATGTTCACACTTTATCTGAAACGGTGACATGTATATATATATATATATATATATATATATATATTGTGTTACATGATTAACATACATGCTGGAGTGGGGAGGTATGATGGTTTTCGTATGCCAGGACCTGATCTGATTCCCGCATACGTACAATGTGTTTGAGGCCAATTTCTGGAATTGATATTTCTGGAATAGTGCTACACGCGACGTAAAACCACTTCCACTCATGGCCCAGTCGTCTAAAGTGCCGAAATGTTATTTACAGAGTAACGTCCCTTAGACGTGCCCGGATCTGCGCTACTGATTGATTAAATGTTGCATGGAGAATGAGTGTAAATCCATCGGTTACAAGGTACAAGAGAGCAGTTTCTGCGGCCATATGTGTACATTACGTTTTCCTTATTTCTGAACCTGCCTATATCTACCCACATTAGAACAGTCTGTCAGAAGGATAACCCATTCAGATCGAATAAAAAACACCAGGGTGTTAGGGATCGGTCAGGGAAAAACACAGAAACGTATGGTGCAAGTCAGAATCGATTTCATCGGATATCATTTTTGTTACAGATTTGGTAGTGTCCTCAACGTCTCTTAACAAAGGCGTTTTTGTAAAATGTACTGAGGCCTTGAGGAACAACCTCAAAAGCTGTGAAGTGTAGATACCAAAGGGGGGAGCTGCTGGACTATTGGTCGACTATTGGCAAGGTGAAGTCATCCTTCCCGTCATAGACCCGTGTGGATAACTTTTTATCACTCTGAATCCGCAGATCTAAATAGGATTATGAAGCAGTAGGCGGCTGGTAACGCTCTGACTTGTCAGTCAACGGAACACTCGAAACAGCATCTGTTTTCCATTTGTTTTCATCCTACTGACATTTAAGATATCAGGTTAAACATAAGTGTGCAAGTTTGTAAGGCAAGGGTGGTGAAGAAGACGATCCATAGCTGTGTCTTTACGCAATGTTGGCGAATGAGTGGTCATTTTACAGTGCTAAACTACTGTCTCGAATACAGAACGATTTCACTGTATGCAAGTCTCGGGCAATACATTCCTTTGTCAGCTAGGGAACTATTAGACTCTCTAAAAGTTTCGAGGAATATAACCCTTTGTCAACTAGGGAACTATTTGACTCGGGTAATATAATCCTTTGTCAACTAGAGAACAATTAGACTCGCTGCAAGTCTCGGGTAATATAATCCTTTGTCAACTAGGGAACTATTTGACTCTCTACAAGTCTCGGGTAATATAACCCTTTGTCAACTAAAGAACTATTTGACTCTCTGCAAGTTTCGGGGAATATAACCTTTTGTCAACTAGGGAACTATTTGACTCTTTACAAGTCTCTTGCAATACATTCCATTGTCAACTAGAGAACTATAAGACTCTCTACAAGTATCGGGGAATAGAGCCCTTTGTCAACTAGAGAACAATTTGACTCTCTGCAAGTCTCGGGTAATATAACCCTTTGTCAACTAAAGAACAATTTGACTCTCTGCAAGTCTCGGGTAATATAATCCTTTGTCAACTAGGGAACTATTTGACTCTCTACAAGTCTCGGGCAATACAATCCTTTGTCAACTAGAGAACGATTAGACTCTCTACAAGTCTCGGGGAATATAGAACTATTTGACTCTCTACAAGTCTCGGGTAATATAACCCTTTGTCAACTAGAGAACTATCAGACTCTCTACAAGTCTCGGGGAATATAGAACTATTTGACTCTCTACAAGTCTCGGGTAATATAACCCTTTGTCAACTAGAGAACTATCAGACTCTCTACAAGTCACGGGGAATATAGAACTATTTGACTCTCTACAAGTCTCGGGTAATATAACCCTTTGTCAACTAAAGAACTATTTGACTCTCTGCAAGTTTCGGGGAATATAACCTTTTGTCAACTAGGGAACTATTTGACTCTTTACAAGTCTCTTGCAATACATTCCATTGTCAACTAGAGAACTATTAGACTCTCTACAAGTATCGGGGAATAGAGCCCTTTGTCAACTAGAGAACAATTTGACTCTCTGCAAGTCTCGGGTAATATAACCCTTTGTCAACTAAAGAACAATTTGACTCTCTGCAAGTCTCGGGTAATATAATCCTTTGTCAACTAGGGAACTATTTGACTCTCTACAAGTCTCGGGCAATACAATCCTTTGTCAACTAGAGAACGATTAGACTCTCTACAAGTCTCGGGGAATATAGAACTATTTGACTCTCTACAAGTCTCGGGTAATATAACCCTTTGTCAACTAGAGAACTATCAGACTCTCTACAAGTCTCGGGGAATATAGAACTATTTGACTCTCTACAAGTCTCGGGTAATATAACCCTTTGTCAACTAGAGAACTATCAGACTCTCTACAAGTCACGGGGAATATAGAACTATTTGACTCTCTACAAGTCTCGGGTAATATAACCCTTTGTCAACTAAAGAACTATTTGACTCTCTGCAAGTTTCGGGGAATATAACCTTTTGTCAACTAGGGAACTATTTGACTCTTTACAAGTCTCTTGCAATACATTCCATTGTCAACTAGAGAACTATTAGACTCTCTACAAGTATCGGGGAATAGAGCCCTTTGTCAACTAGAGAACAATTTGACTCTCTGCAAGTCTCGAGTAATATAACCGTTTGTCAACTAAAGAACAATTTGACTCTCTGCAAGTCTCGGGTAATATAATCCTTTGTCAACTAGGGAACTATTTGACTCTCTACAAGTCTCGGGCAATACAATCCTTTGTCAACTAGAGAACGATTAGACTCTCTACAAGTCTCGGGGAATATAGAACTATTTGACTCTCTACAAGTCTCGGGTAATATAACCCTTTGTCAACTAGAGAACTATCAGACTCTCTACAAGTCTCGGGGAATATAGAACTATTTGACTCTCTACAAGTCTCGGGTAATATAACCCTTTGTCAACTAGAGAACTATCAGACTCTCTACAAGTCTCGGGGAATATAGAACTATTTGACTCTCTACAAGTCTCGGGTAATATAACCCTTTGTCAACTAGAGAACTATCAGACTCTCTACACGTCTCGGGGAATATGGCCCTTTGTCAACTAAAGAACAATTTTACTCTCTGCAAGTCTCGGGGAATATAATCCTTTGTCAACTTGAGAACTATTTGACTCTCTACAAGTCTCGGGGAATATAACCCTTTGCCAACTAAAGATCTATTTGACCCTTTACAAGTCTCTTGCAATACATTCAATTGTCAACTAGAGAACTATTAGACTCTCTACACGTCTCGGGGAATATAGCCCTTTGTCTACTAGAGAACAATTTGACTCTCTGCAAGTCTCGGGTAATATAATCCTTTGTCAACTAGAGAACTATTTGACTCTCTACAAGTCTCGGGGAATATAACCCTTTGCCAACTAAAGATCTATTTGACTCTTAACAAGTCTCGGGAAATACAATCCTTTGTCAACTAGAGAACTATTAGACTCTCTACAAGTATCGGGGAATATAGAACTATTTTACTCTCTAAAAGTTTCGGGGAATATAACCCTTTGTCAACTAGAGAACTATTTTACTCTTTACAAGTCTCGGGCAATACAATCCTTTGTCAACTAGAGAACTATTAGACTCTCTATAAGTCTCGGGGAATATAGCCCTTGTCAACTAGAGAACAATTTGACTCGCTGCAAGTCTCGGGGAATATTTCCCTATGTCAACTTAAGAACAATTTGACTCTCTGCAAGTCTCTGGTAATATAATCCTTTGTCAACAAGTGAACTATTTGACGCTCTACAAGTCTCGGGGAATATAGAACTATTTTACTCCCTAAAAGTTTCGGGGAATATAACCCTTTGTCAACTAGAGAACTATTTGACTCTCTACAAGTTTCGGGGAATACAACCCTTTGTCAACTAGAGAACTATTTGACAGTTTGCAAGGTTCGGAGAGTATTAGCTTTGTGAACTAAAGAACTATTCAGCTGCATGCGAGGCTTAAGAGATACAGTATTTGCTATTTACAGAAGTATTTGGCTGTGTGGAAGATTTGGGAGATGCATGTTCGGCATGAGAGATACAACAACCCTTGCAGGCTAAACAAGTAATGTGTCCGCATTTTGTCTCGGTAAATTTAAACTGGGTCGATTAGATAACTATTTGGCTGCATCCAACGTTTGGGCGGAAAATGGCGTGTTCATGGCGTTTACATGCAATGTTTTGAAAGTAAAATCCGTGTGTTCCAGAGACCTATTTGGCTTTATTAATAACTGGAGAGCAATATGAGTGGTCCCCAGCTCCTCAAACAATAACTGTGATTGCCGAGTAGATCAGCAATCCAAATTTGTATGAATTTTTAAACGAATTCGTGCATGTCACACGACAATTTAGGTTCTTCCATGTCATAAAAAGACACAAATATGCGTCTAACCTTAATCCAGCAGGACTATTCTGTCATAACGTTTGGAAGACTGGAATAAAGCGTTGTTGTTTAGAAATGTAAACTCAATTACATTTCTATCTGGGGACTGTTGAAGTTGCTGACATACGTTCCTTGCCTTCACGGGGGGCATGGGGCACCCAGTTGTCTAAAGCGCCGCATTTCGCTGTGCAGAGATGCGTCCCTTGGGCATGCCAGGAACTAGAAACCCCTGTTCGCCCCGTTTAAATTTCTAGGTTTGTCAGCACCATACCTATGCCTGTGTGTTTCGCCGAAATGGTAAACGTCTAAGACCTGCCTCACTTCGGACTTTCCTCCCACACGCCGTGATATACTGGAGTACTGTTTACAGCTGCAATCACTGGATTGTCTGGTCCAGACTCGATTATTTACAGACCGCCGTCATACAGCTGGAATATTGCTGAGTGCGGCGTTAAACAACAACAACATAAACACCAACTCACTTCTTCATCGCCTTCACACACAAAACTATACCACACCAACCGGATGTCAATAAATTATTCTAAGGAATGTAAACATGTAGCCTTTTGTATGTGTGTTTCGTTTTGGTATTAAATGTGACAAATCACATTTTCAAGCTTTATTGTTTTTGATGTACACGTGGTATAAAAAAAGAGAAAAAATGAGGCAGATATCTTCACTACACAGATGTGATACAGCGCAAATCAAACAAGTAACCAGTCTACATATGTGCTACACATTCATTACCTAGGGAAGAATGTATTGCTGTGGGGACATTGGACACATTTGATCATCCGTGTACACAAAGGGATGAGTGCACGACCAATGGCGCGTAGCAATGACTGCACAAATGCTTCTTTGCCGAGCCAGGATCCGGTGACCGTTGGTTCGAATCCCAGATTCGAGCTGCCTATGATCCTTGGGTTGTCAGCACCATACCCATGCCCCCTGTTTTTACGAAAGTGGGACACAAGCCTACGATCTGCATCACAATATGGAATCTCCTCTCCAATAAAAAGAAATATTCTTTGGGACAAACCACAACTCATTCACTTCACATCTCCAGAACAAAAATAATTATACTGACACTTGATACTCGATAATTTTATTTCCATAGAAGATTTGTGTTTACACAGTACGTATAGTAAACAAATATGTAGAATGTTGAAGCTCTACAAGAGCATTTTGTCGCTCTTAATACAAGAACGACTCCACAACACCACGCTATCATGCAGTGTTATATAAAGAGGATCTGTTTACATGGACTTGAATCACTGATCGGTAGTTTATCTGTTTATAGCAATTCGTTATTAGTAGCGACCCTTTAAAATCTTGGACTAACGATATATTTTACGAGAGCTTCAACTATCCACTCTCCCGTACGCGAGGATACAACTTCGCAATATAACAGCAATACGCAATAGAAACAACTTCTTAGATGATAACTTCGCAAGTGAAGCCACATACATATCTTCGGATTTTCACCCCAATGTTAATAAAAACGTTTTTTATAATCCTAAAAACTATCTTCTAAAATCTGAATCCATTGTACGATTCCGATTATATCACGAGCATGTGTTTACGAATCACTCTCAAGTAGTAAAGACACCAGGTGTTCGCGAATAGGTTTGTATCCTGCCCCATCGGTGGCACCCGTCAGAAACACATGCAAAGGCATGTCAACTGTTCACCTGTGCAAACACGGAAACGTGGTACGTCACAACAGCAAATAGCATCTGACATTATTTTTGTTACCAATACGTCAAATTTGGACATGTACTCAACACGTGCACCATACAAAATGAAAAGCCTTACAAGGAATGGATACCATGAATTGGAATAAGTTGGATTGGTACGTTTCGCTGAAAGCAAAATAGGTTTACCTTAAGATAAGGTTTCGACATGCTATTTACAGTCCGAATGAAACCTCGTTAACATGGACAGTATTATGAAACCGTCTGCAATTAGGATATGTTTTCATGCATCAACCAAATCCCGTTAGTCGCCTCTTACGATAATCATGTTATGTAAAGCATGATTTAATGAAGACCAATTCTAAACCGGATCTTCACGGGTAATCTCGAAAACGAAGTAAACTACCTTTCCCGAATGAACATATCACAGTCCGCGCCATGTTATTGTTGTGAATATTGTATTCACCCTGTCGTTTCTGAGCACCATCGTACCAACACTCAAAACCCGTATCTCTGTCCAGAGTTAGTTTTCGTTTGTTAAAATCGAAATTCCGAATTGATATGTTTTTGAGATTCCGCATAGAAATGAAACATTTTTAGAAAGCTGACATCTGATTGGCTCAAAACCCAAAGCATCCTTCATTCGCTCAAAGGTCGCTCAGAGTGGCTTCATATCGGGGTAAAAGATGTGATTTTAATAAGATTGCAAGATTGATGATGCGGGCATTGATGAAGCAGTACACTCTCTCACCTAGTGGAATATGATTCAGAACATGTTATAAATAGGAACATATCAGTTTTAACTGACTCCATAGAGCGGTTATCCGTTATACGAAAAATACCAGTAAATTAATGTTGTTTTTCTCCGCTATCAGCCATGTGTTTCCAGCTTCGACAAGGTAGCGAGTCTGGGTCAGGCGCGTCAGTGGTTGATAGTATGAGCAAATATCGATAACAATAACAACAAACAAATAAAGCATTGGGCATTCCGCACATGTTCCATATCGGAATCCTCACCGGGAAACTAAATCATGAAGTGGGTTATTTAAAAGTAGGTTATTGAAAACCAAATCGTTTCAATTGAAATATAAACAGTAACGAAATGCTAAATAATAGGCAATGAAGGACCGACTGTGGTCTGGCGGTAGAGCATCCCCCGGAGAGCGGAAGGTCAAGGGATTCCCCGGCCGCGTCATACCAAAAGACGTTAAAAGATGGTTCTTTTTGTTACCCTGTCTGGCGCTCGGCATAAAGGGGATAAAACAATGACTGGTCGGCTACGGAGTCAGTATACTGTGTCTGAGTGGGGTGTTCATGTTAAACTGCGGCATGGTATCTCAGTGGGCTGGCACTATAGAGTCGACACGCGTGCATGTACGTCGCTATGTAAATGCACTAATTATGGATGTAACGTTAAAACCCCATTTCACCTCCAATGATACAATGATGATGTTAACATAATGTAAAAACATACTCGTGTGGATTAAATTAAATTTGCAACTATGAGGTAAAGTTGATAACACTGGAAGCAAACGCAATGGCGAAATTTCTGTTTCGGATATATTGAACGTTTTAGCACAAAAACACTTGACCGATAGATGTCTATGGTGTGATATGTCAGCAGAACACGTGTGGGGAATGGAAGGACGAGTACATTATCATGAATGATGGTCTTGCTGATATAAGGAGGATAACAGTCATTGGGTAGAATAGTCTCCCTTGTGGTTTGGGTTCGAATCCCAAACATGAAACAATATCACAAAAGTTCGGCACATTGGGGAAAATTGTAACCCTGATTTAGTGCTCATGTTTTTGCTATCAGTTCGATCGTCGTAGGAGTCGTTCCATCTTCATCAGTATCAGGGTCGTGTGTCGCCCATCTGTGCTTAGGCTGGAAGGCGATGCGTATTTTCTGGGGGCAAATAAAATAATTTATATTAGAAATAATTCGTAGATTCCCATTTACACGCTACACCGACAGCCAAGAAATAAGACGGTAATATGCAGTGGGTGGTGGAATGAACTGTTTGTGAACAAGGGCATGAGTGAGTGAGTGAACAAGGGCATGAGTGAGTGAGTGAGTGAGTGAGTGAGTGGGTGAGTATGGTTTAACGCCGCTTTTAGCAATATTCCAACAATATCACGGCGGGGGACACCAAAAATGGGCTTCACACATTGTACCCATGTCGGGAATCGAACCCGGGTCTTCGGCGTAACGAGCGAACGCTTTAACAAACTAAGCTACCAAGGCGAACAAGGGCATCATGTTTTAATGTGTGAGAATTTGGTTTGCTACTAGACTTTTAGGCAATATGAAATAATCTTAATGAAATATCTCGACCTCCATAACTTTCCCGCCATATATCATCAAACCAACCAGATGCTCAAGGAACTACATCGGTACAGCTGTGAACTAGCAACGAACTGTTGGAGGAAGAAATCGAACAGTACACAATGGCTTGAAAAAAACATATACACGTCGCAACGAAATTCGTTTTTTGCACTCAACATTACTTGCTGTTCGTAGATAATAATGTACGATTCCGATTATATCATAAACATATTTTTATTAAACACCTTCAATACACACTTTGTTCAAAAACTTATGGGTAGAAGACCCCGTGACATTAAACACGGCGCGTTAGTGTAAGCCTCGTTGAGGGAGTAGAGCTTGAAATGAGCTCTGGATCTACCTATTATACATGACATTGAAAGAACTCACCTCGCGTAAGGAATCTCCCGGGGCCGTGTACACGGAATGGATGAGGAGGATTGGGGTGGGGATGACGGTGGCAACTGAAATAAGCCATCCGAACCATTTGGCCCACGGAGGAAAGTTGTACTCTTCAAACTGGGGTGGGTGGTAGGAGTACAGCGAGAAGGCGAACATGACCTGCAATGCGAACACAGGGAGAATCACAATAAGGACCGTTTAACTACTGTCACTCAAACTGGGTCGGGCGGTAGATGTAGTTTTTCCAACACCTGGTGACATCACTAATTTATAGTGACCTATGATTCATTTAAATAGAGCAGCCTCAATCAGCATGCACACGTTGAAGGATGATTGCGTCGGGTATACTCACAGCTAATAGAATCGGACAGGCAAATCTCCACAGAAATGATATGATCGGGGACAGATGTTTGCCCCAGAGTAACACCATAGCCTTGTCTATCCTCTTCACTCCTGAAATATCGGAAGAATCAGTAGAAGACGAGAGAGTGAGGACTAAGGGGTTCAAGGCTGACGAGTGTTTCAAATTTGTTTGTTTATTTGTTTGTTTTGTTTAACGCCGCAGTCGGCAATATTCCAGCTAAATGACGGCGGTCTGTAAATGATCGAGTTTGGATCAGACAATCCAGTGATTGACATTATCAACATCGATCTACGAAATTGGGATACGTTGATATGCATCAACCAAGTCAGTGAGTCTGACCACCCGATCCCGTTAGAGGTCTCTTGTACAAGCATGGGGTGTTGAAGACCAATTCTAACTCGGGTATGTTCACATTTGCTAAGGCTGTATTTGATACCGCGAAAACACCCTTAACAGACCAGAAGCCCCACTGAATCGTAATATCATCATTGCTGTTGCACTTAATGATTTGCGAAATGTTTCTAAAGTTACCCGGCCGAAAGACGAACTAACTTCTCAGGTTAGGTGAGGATTTCGACCAGATCTTATGAGGTGTGACCCAATGATATAGAGAAGTCAATTATCTAAAGTTTATAAAATTTATTATGTTAAAAGGGCCTGTGAAAATGAAACTAAAAAAGTTGTGTGAATATAGATTCATGTTTGGTAATACTATGAAATCCTTGAGTTGTGTGATCACTGATGGGTATACCCTAAAGTACTATTAATTTAATTGTATACGCACCATATATCCAGCCGACAACGACGCATTCCAACATAGCGAAAAGGATGATAGCAGGGAAAAAAGCATACCACTCCACAAGAGTGAGGAAATATACCCCGCCCTGTAGAACAGAAAAAAATGTTTTATTTGTTAATTTACTGGTTTTTGTTAACGCCACACTCGAGCTATATGATGGCGGTCTGTAAATAATCTACAAACCGAACATCTGTTTGAACAGTATTTCAGTTATATCACGGCGTATTAGCTTAACGAGGGAGGAGAGCCAAACGTAATGCTGGTCATTGACGTCTTGAAGACGTGAGACAGGACAAGGACGAACCTGTGTCATGTAGGGCAGGGCTAGCAGGAAGGACGGGAACAACACGCAGGCGTTGAGGAGCCATCGTCGTCTGGCGAAGTTCGGGAACCATTCACTGAACATGTTTGTCACAACTTCATAAGATGGAACCTTTAACATAAATAATATATGTCAGTTGGGTTGAAACGTCCACACTGCGTCTATTCCTCATATGTAACCATGACGGGTTGATTTTTTTATTCCTTGAAAACATTGTGTTTACTCATCGAAATCTCTTTTGCAAATAAAGCCAGTATAAAGTTGTCTCATTGAATTGTCTATTCCATACGTGGAAATAATTCCTGAGAATTATAACACTAACTCCCCAAACTGTCTTTTCCTTTTATGTATACCAAACCACTAAATCACCTACCTGTCTATTCCTTTTATGTGTACCAAACCACTAACTCACCTACCTTTCTATTCCTTTTATGTGTACCAAACCACTAACTCACCTACCTGGCTATTCCTTTTATGTGTACCAAACCACTAACTCACCTACCTTTCTATTCCTTTTATATGTACCAAACCACTAACTCACCTACCTGGCTATTCCTTTTATGTGTACCAAACCACTAACTCACCTACCTGGCTATTCCTTTTATGTGTACCAAACCACTAACTCACCTACCTGGCTATTCCTTTTATGTGTACCAAACGACTAAATCACCTACCTGGCTATTCCTTGTATGTGTACCACACCACTAACTCACCTACCTGGCTATTCCTTTTATGTGTACCAAACCACTAACTCACCTACCTGGCTATTCCTTTTATGTGTACCAAACGACTAAATCACCTACCTGGCTATTCCTTTTATGTGTACCAAACCACTAACTCACCTGACTGTCTATTCCTTTTATGTGTACCAAACCACTAACTCACCTGGCTGTCTATTCCTTTTATGTGTACCAAACCACTAACTCACCTGACTGTCTATTCCTTTTATGTGTACCAAACCACTAACTCACCTGACTGTCTATTCCTTTTATGTATACCAAACCACTAACTCACCTGACTGTCTTATCATTTTATGTGTACCAAACCACTAACTCACCTGACTGTCTATTCCTTTTATGTGTACCAAACCACTAACTCACCTACCTGGCTATTCCTTTTATGTGTACCAAACCACTAACTCACCTGACTGTCTATTCCTTTTATGTGTACCAAACCACTAACTCACCTGACTGTCTATTCATTTTATGTGTACCAAACCACTAACTCACCTGACTGTCTATTCCTTTTATGTGTACCAAACCACTAAATCACCTACCTTTCTATTCCTTTTATGTGTACCAAACCACTAACTCACCTGACTGTCTATTCCTTTTATGTGTACCAAACCACTAACTCACCTGACTGTCTATTCATTTTATGTATACCAAACCACTAACTCACCTACCTGTCTATTCATTTTATGTGTACCAAACCACTTACTCACCTGACTGTCTATACCTTTTATGTGTACCAAACCACTAACTCACCTACCTGGCTATTCATTTTATGTGTACCAAACCACTAAATCACCTAACTTTCTATTCCTTTTATGTGTACCAAACCACTAACTCACCTAACTTTCTATTCCTTTTATGTGTACCAAACCACTAACTCACCTAAATGTATATTCCTTTTATGTGTACCAAACCACTAACTCACCTGACTGTCTATTCATTTTATGTATACCAAACCACTAACTCACCTACCTGTCTATTCCTTTTATGTGTACCAAACCACTAACTCACCTGACTGTCTATTCCTTTTATGTGTACCAAACCACTAACTCACCTGACTGTCTATTCATTTTATGTGTACCAAACCACTAAATCACCTAACTTTCTATTCCTTTTATGTGTACCAAACCACTAACTCACCTAACTTTCTATTCCTTTTATGTGTACCAAACCACTAACTCACCTAAATGTATATTCCTTTTATGTGTACCAAAGCACTGACTCACAAAACTGTATATTTGTTTTATGCGTACCAAAACCTTGACTCACCAAACTGTCTATTCCTAATGTATAAAGCATCACAAACAAGAAGACGGACCAAAGCTGAGGCAAGGGGAGATATGAGGCTGCCTCCGGATATGTAATAAAACCCAGCTTGAAGCCTGCAAAGAGAAACAAATGATTCGTAAGAATATTTTGATGAGAGACATTAACACGAAGTAAAATCAATGTTTTATGTTCTTTGTGTTACAGTGCCGAAATACTGTTTAGTAAATTTGGCGGATTTTCATCACCCATCTAAATGAAGGCTTCGTGGGTTCTTGAGTCAATCAGATATCAGCCTTTCTGAAATGGCTTCATTTTATTTCTTCTTCGATTCGGAAATTTCGATTATAACAAAAGAAAACCCACACAGAACACAACTGGTACTCCATGTGAATCTAAAGTTCAGATATGAGAGGATTTGTATAATATCTACAACAATAAAAGGGCGCGGCCCTTTTAATTACATTCGGAACTAGTCGTTTAATTTCGCTCTTTAAATTTGCAAGAAGAAGTCAATATGTTTGATTGGATAAACCAAGCAATTGCTTTTGTGTTTATTGATAAGAATTGACTTTAATATGTACTGTAAATCTGGAAAGCTTTGCGAGCAGGAGAGTACTTCGAAACCTGCGAGTGACACACACTCGCCATAGTTTCATGACGCAGTTATTTATTGCAAGTTGACAAGAAACAAAAAATATAACGAGGCATATTTTTTTAATTCACTTCCATACGTTGGTAAACCAGCTAGTTCATGAATAAACAAACAATCCCTCACTTCCTGTATTTGCCTTATTACACATGGTCACTTAGTGGCAACAGCCTAGTTAGTCTAAGTTCACTAACGTGCCACATTACGTCAAGTTGTTGACAAAACAGTATTGGCGCTTAAGACGTTACGCGGATTTACACATTATACACACCAGGGTGCCGTTGTACAAAACAACCTTTACTAAGGTTGAACTTAGTTACTAAGGTTAATCTTAAGGTAACCTTATCAAAAAGTTACGCCCGTTGCACAAAACTACCTTTGGACAACCTTAACGTGGACAGGATACTTAGCGGCAACCTTAACTAAGGTTGAACTCTTTAGTGTGGGAGACTCAATTATGTCCGTAGTTACGGTTGAGAGTTATCTCCCCTGCTCGCATCTGCAGACGACTAATATTGCTACTTCAACATGACACAGCCGTCTACCAGCGCACAGAAACGGTGTCGGCAATCAAACTTTACATCAAGTGAGCTGACACTCTTGGCCGATGAAGTCAAGTGTCGCAGCCATGTTTTATTCGGCGCATTTTCTTCAACAATCACCAATCAATCCAAAATGAGGGAGTGGGATGCAATAGCCGCAAAGTAAGTTTTGCCATACATTCAACCTAGCTGATGCAGTTACTTTGTAAATGAGATCAAATCTATGTATCTATCATTGATATTATATTTGAAAGCATGACATGACATCCAGTGGTGTTAGAATAAATGTATTAATTTTCATTTTATATCTAACGTAATTACAGGCCAAAATAAATAAATAAATATCCCCCCCCCCCCCCCCCCCCCACCCCCCCCCCCCCCCCCCCCCCCCCCCACCCCCACACCCACCCACCCACCCACCATTAGATCTATATATTTCTATTTGAGTTCAAAATGTTTAATTTTGAACAGGATTTTTTTTCAGCCCAAAGTGGCAAGGAAAAATAGAAACCCTTCTTACCGGCCTGTTTGCGAAATATTGGCTAATAATCTTGAAAATACTACATTGTTGTCTAAATTAAATATGTTTGTGCATGTGTGCATAATTTTTTGTCAATCTGTTACAGAGTAAATGCCTGCTCGTCTGTTGAGAGAACAGGGGCTCAATTGAGAAAAAAGTGGAATGATTACAAGTAAGTATTAGATATATTCCATTGCTAGAATTTATTGGTGTGTACACATGTATTTGTAAGTATTTAACTACATTGTTGTGGTGTTCAAGTGTTTTGGTTTATAATAACAATTGGTAAATAAAAAATGGCAAACAATTGGTGAAATGTTAACAATCAACAGTTTATTTACAATATGAATTGCTTATGTTATAAAATGGCCCCTTTACAATGATCAATGTGAACATCAGCATGATTAATTAATTTACAGATCTCAGGTAAAAAGAAAGGCCATGGATGTCCGCAAAGAATCGTCCAAAACAGGAGGCGGTCCGGCACCATCACCTTTGACTGATCTGGAATTCAAAGTATGTTATAAAATTTTAATTTCCTTTAGAGGATTGTATTTCAAGGCTATCTGAATAGGAAAGTTAATTATGAAAGTGTCCCCTCACAACAACATTTATTAATATAATTCTTCTCCCCAAGTGTATATAGCTTGAATATTTCTATTTGTAGGTTGTATCACTGATTCCACAGTGTCAAATTGAAGGAATAGCTGGTGGACTGGAGTCTGAGGTTGGTGAAAGTAAGTGTTTGTTTTCAATTAATTTCACTATATATTCAAAATACAAAATAACTTTCATGTTGATTGAATATTTTCATTGAACTGGATGTATTTTCCAACACTGAGTATTGAAATAAACACTGGTAACAGTTTTGATTTACATGGACATAGATGATTATTTCATAAGAACTCATAACATTTTCAGCTTTCCCTACACTCAACGCATTGAATGAAGGTGACCTTGCCACAGTGGACTTCTTTGATACAATTATCACAAGTGAAGAGACACAGACCCTTGAAACACCTGGTACACTTATTCAATACTTTTTAAAAAATCATTCAATGTGCAGTTATTCATGATGTCAGTTAATTACAGTTTACCAATCTCAGATATATGAAATTACCATGTGTTCTGATGTAACCTAATTTCATCAAACTTGCAGGTCCTATCTTTATGTGTGGGAACACTGGCAGTGATGAGGCTTCATCAATGAGTCAACCTGTGGAATCAGCAGAAATGAGAGTAGATGAGACAAGTCATTCTTCAGTCACAAATGGTAAAAGTTTAAAAACTAGCCTATTTGAAAAAATAATCAACAATAATATAGAATTATACTTAATATCCAATCACCTGATGACTCCATATATCAAATCAAGCTGATAATAAGTGGATAATTAACTTATCTCTTGAATTTTTACAGCTAAGGATATCAAGATGAACAGATCCAGACAAAGAAGATATGGTATGACATTATTCTATATTTTGTGTACAGTCTTTTATAATCATGCCAATATTATTTTTGGATAATTCTTAACAATTTCAGTAAAAGCAATGTTTTGTGGAGACATATATTGGGTTTTAACTACTAATTTCCTGTATGATATTCTTTTATCTTAATGAAGTGTATTATTTTCATCAATGATTACTTCTGATCATGATAATATAATAAACATGATACATTGAATTTTCTAACAATTTTTAAAGAAAACTCACAGCAGCCACCGAAGCACATTGCCTCAATAATTGACGTTGAGACAGCCAAAGCAGATGCCCTCAAGGAGCTAATAGATGTGCAAAAGAGGATGCTCAGCATATCAGAGGAGCACTTGGTGGTACAGAGAGAAAGGCTTGACCTGGAGAAATCCAAATTTGAACTTTTGCAACGTCTTTTAATGAATCCAGGAAATAGATCTCCAAATACTTTGTCCCCAGTCATCAACTTTATGTTATCCTCCTAACCGTGCCAGCACCCCAGCTGATGTATCTGACTAGTGTTTTAAGGTTTTATATTAAGTGAGATTAATACATATTGTGTATAGAGAGAGTTAACAACCCTTTTATTTTCTGCCAATACATTTATGTTCATGCACTGCCCAGCTGTTTAGCTGTAATTGAAATAAATACATATGTGTATTCAATTGTTGTTTATTGTGTTGTTTACTTACAGCCTATGTAAATCTTTCAGTAATCAGCTTACTCCTAGTCGCACACCCATCCTGACACTGTCTGACTTCAGGATTGTTTTCTTCATCAACATGATCAACCACTGCTTCCTCTAGTGGTGGTGCAACCTTGTTGTCGATGCAGAAGTTGTGCAGCTTGAAAGTAGCCATAATTACAGCTACACATCTTTGTGGATTAAACCATAAACATCCGGTGGACTTATGGAGACATCTGAAAATGTCATATTATCAAGTTCTTGTATTTGTTACAAATTATGAACTAATTTCAACAATTACAGCATTAACATTATGTTCATACAATATCATTAATGATAATTTTCAAACACATATCTTATAAACAATTCAAAACTTCATAAATGTTCTTATTCCTGAATGGAACCATGGATAATTCACAATGAAGCTTGCATAACATGTTGGACCTACCATCCCACCAAAATTTAAAGAAAGGCATTTTATGTTATTGTTATTCTATTCTCTCTCTCTTCTCTGTAATAACTGACCAGTCCCTTATCTGGTTTTCGATTACATTTCTGAAACTAGACACATGTAATTTTGATATTATACCTGAATCTGGACTTTAGCACACCAAAGGCCCTTTCAACAGTGTTTCTTGTCCTGATATGGGCTGCATTGAACTTTTGTTCAGGCTTCGTCTGAGGATCTGCTAAGGGGGTTAGCATCCAAGGTCTGCATGCATATCTGTACAAATAGTAGAAGCCAAATAACATTTGTTTACAAATGTAGGATATTCATTCCTTACATAGTAACATCAGAAATATTAATGATAGTTACACAAACGTGGCACTTTCCTTCACAAAAATTCTAGTTTCAAAACTCTCAACTTTGTACCTATATTTAGTGCATTATGGATAAGGTTCAACTGGTTTACCCTGAGTCACCAAGCAGCCAACCATCAGGTGCAGTTTCTTCCATCCTCATCCCAACTTGACTACTACTCCAAATCAAAGAATCGTGAGTCGATCCTGGCCATTTTGCCACCACGTTGGTAAAGCTGTAATAGTAAACAATTCCACTTTAAACAGATGTTTGGTTTCCATTAAAGCAATGAAAATATTTTTGTATTGATAATCTAATATATATTATGAACAATCTAATATTATCAGACAATTTATATCTTTCGGATTTGATAACTTTCATTACATTCAAACTCATATTCCTACAATTTGAATACTTTGTAAATTAATATACGTAATCATAACTTTTTGACATGTCAAATCAGTTCAATGAAGACCACACACTAAATAATTAAAAGTACAATGTTTGTTAAAAGAAACAAAATTACATTTCATGTATCTTGAAATTAATGAGTTCTAGTAACACTCAGAAAATAATCCTAAAAATATTGTTGTATAAATGGTAACAAAATATAAGGCAACTTATATGTAGATAAGCAAAAAAAGATTGAATGAAGCTGGTTTCATTTGACAGGAAAGTAGTTTCGACTCGCTTGTGGGTCAAGGCCGTTGCTAGTGTAAACAGTACAGCGTAGTTTGCGGACCATGGCCCAGTTACCACTATTCTTTGAAAGTTGATTGCCGTTAATTGATTGATATCGATAAAAAAATATACATAATGTATCTTTATTGTAAAATAAGGGATCTACTGTACATCTTACCGGAGAGAGCTGTCGCATATCGCCTGCACATTGATGGCATGATATCCCTTCCGGCATATGTAGGCCGCTTCGTCGTTTGGTGATGGTCGTTTTATGGGAATAAGTGTTCCGTCGACGGCACCAAGAACTTTTGGGAAATGACCAATTCTATAGAATGCTTGCTGTACCTTGGTTTGCTGCTCGTGACTCCAGGGAAAAGTAATATTGTCTAAAACCGTGCATATTGCATTTACCGTTGAATGAAAACCTCTCGACACACTTGATTTATCCAAACCATGCAAATCTCCAATTTCAGAAAGAAATCCCCCTTTTCCTAAATATCTCAGCGTAAACAAAACTTGAGATTCCACTGTCATAGCGTACGAACGCTGTGTTGGTCTTTCGACCAAAGGACGAACTTTGTCTACGAGACAGAAAATGGCTTCGCGAGTGAGGCGATAACGCGATATCAGGTCCAAGTCTGTCAGTGTCTCAAGCTGCATGGTGCGATCTCGGAAAACACGCTGTTTCCTCAAACTTCTCTCAGTTTCCTCACACATCAACAAGAAAGTAGCCATGTTGAAATTCAATGAAGTATCAACCTTAGCGTGGCTAAGGTTGGGTCTGACCAACCTTAAAATTTTCACCTTAACTAAGGCTACCTTAGCGTAGGGTAGTTTCATGCAACAGGGGGTCAACCTTAGTAAAGGCCTAAGGTTAAAACTTAAGGATATAAGGTAACCTTAGCGCTAAGGTTGTTTTGTACAACGGCACCCAGGTTTTGCATTAATGCAAAAAAATAGTAACGTCAATTCTAAATTAACATTTGATTGCTCCTTTAAACCTGGGTACACATTTGTTAGATCTTAAATTTAAGATATGTGTATTAATGAAATATGTATTTGTTTTCTTTGTTGTTCAACGCCACAATCAAGCTTGTGAGTAAGTAAGTGCTTAATGAATTGGGAAAACTCCCTGTATAAGTCATAGTTTGTGATAGCATCGCCAATCATGTTGAAAGTATTGTTTGTTGTTTAACGCCGCACTCAGCAATGTTCCAGCTATATGACGGCGGTCTGTAACCAGTCAATCCAAGGATTGATGTCATGAGCATCGATCTACGCAAGTGGGATACGATGACATGCATCATCCATGTCAGCGAACCTGACCACCCATTCCCGTTAGTCGTCTTTTACGACATGCATAGTCGCTTCTAACGACAAGCATGGGTTGCTGAAGACCTATTCTACCCCGGATCTGCACGGGTGAAGGCTGTACTGGGTAAGATGTATTATCAGCCATCATCTGTACGATATGACATACCTGAGGTCTGGAAGTGTTCGATGGGGACATCACGTTTAAACGCCACATGCCCGGTGATGCAGAACACAGCGAAGCCGAAGAATATCTGTGACAGCAGCGTGATCACCGTGATGAATAACGCATCCCTGTAAATGAGACAGCAACTTTTATTAAATGTTTTGGTATTTTTCTGGTGCATTTGAAAAGAATGAGTGTTGTAACCGATCAAATATAATATTGTAATCAAACATTTAAAGATTTTATAACAATATGGAAAATGTTTGTCGTGCATCGGAAGAGTGGGCATGTTTTATCAGTAATAGTACAGTGGCCAACGGATAACCAGTGTCTGGCAAACGAACGGTTGATAGCATGAGCAAGGATATACGTCGTCGGGTTGTGATGACACAACCAACAACGTCGCGCATTGTGCAATGATGTGCCAACATTCTTTAAACCATGAATCGACATATCTTTCTTTATCACATAATAGGTAGGTTTTTCGGCAGGATAAAGCCAACGGATAAAACCGATATCCGTTGGGGTCATATGCGGATAGAGATGCAATTATCAAAGGTCAAGTAGGGACTACTTTCACTGTTTATAAACAAACATGGCGTCGCCCTTGTCATTCGGCGATCGAGTCCGAATTAACCATCGGGAATCTGAATAAGCTACAGGGATAATTGCTATCATTATCAAAAGAACAGTCTAATATACTGAAAATCAGTGTCTAACTGTGACGTAGATAAGGCATTTTATAAGTTTTGGCAACTTTGGAGATATAAATTTCGAAACAATTTTTCGAGGGCACGAGGCCTAGCCAAGCGGGATCAGTAGCCATATCTGTGCTTGTAGATCTCTGCGGCTTGAAACCTTCTCCACAAATTACAATAGTTGGATTCGGCCGAAATATGTTTCAATTGTTACCTTGCTTCGTTTTGTCGCTGTGTGTACATCACTTCTTAACGTTATGACAGGACAGGCCGACTATCAACAACGTCTGAACGTGACCGTGACGTCTTATAGACTAGGGTTAGAGTAGCTTCCCTTTGACAAAGGGCAGTTACTCTAGCGGACAAGGCTCGCTAAATACAATGTTTAATCCTAACGCAGGATATTTACCATCCCCAAACACACTCGCGTGATAACCTCTATATATTATCAAATAAACCTGTACTGTCGAGCGGAAGAAAGTATACACTTGAAAACTGAATTTGACCAAAACATTATAAACGTAATCAAAATGCACCAGACCGAAAAAAGTCGCCAAAACACTGCGAACGAAAGGTCACAACCACAACTATGCTACTCGCATCAAATACATCACCATCAAATAACCATTTCTTGTTTGTATCATATTTAGAAACCATTATTCATGGTGTATACTTTCTTTTGCACGGCAACCAATGTTGCGTTACTCTGTCCTCAAGCAGATTGGATGATCTCGACCAATTCTGCTATCTGATCTTCCGGTGATCACCAAATCTCATTAAAATCTTATATTAGTTCTCGCTACCGCCAAACAAAGGTCTGAGGACATCCCGGGGCACGTCGGAACGACCTTTCATCATACCAATTAAAGCGTCGCTTACCAGATAATGAAAGTGACAGATGGAATGTGTTTTCATATTATGCAACCTCAAAGATTTAACACGAGTCCTTCCGAACGACAGTTATGGGCTTTATGGCTGAAACCATACATTCTTGGCCATCTATTAGCCATTCCAATTTAGAATTTGTAACCGAGAATTTGTTAAAATATGGTTCTGAACGTAGCCGCCAGTTTGAAACTAGTGCCGTGAAGCACGAGAAAGCTGCCTTCTGATTGGCTAATACCGACTTCTTGTCACACTCCCCTACCCAGAGTTCCATGTGACCAGCATCGTACCTCTGCCAAAGGCATTCGTCACATCTTACACAGTCAATTCAAAATATTGCATATGTTTTTCATCCGTTTCATTTTTAACAAGTCTACATATCTAGATAAACATATGTCATAGAGTGCACGTGGTAAACTTTCATTGAGAAAATATCCTAATTCATGAAAAACTATTTCAATTTGCGTAGTTATCCTATGTTTACATTGGTTGTCCGGCTCCACGTGCTGTCATCGAAACCCTACGGAGAGCTAGCGATACGGTCTCTTTGGTGTGTAAATATGAAATATGTATTGTCATTCAACTCACTGTCGAAGTTGTAGTAGCATATGTATATAATTATGCAAAACAATATGTACAGCGCCCCTAAAAACTTGAATAAGGCCGTTCTATTCTGATTTCTGAAAAAGCGCATTTGTTAACAAAGAAGAGAAAAGTCCGGTCACGTGACATGCAAATTAGCCTGTTGCAATGGTGTTATGCTAAGTCACCACTGCGCCTGAGCGTGTTCTTGTCAGTGCCCCCCCCCCCCCCCCCCCCCCCCCCCCCTTTTTTTATTTCGAAAAAAATCTTTATTTCTGTATAAATTACCACCAAAGACAATAAATAGATCTTAACTGTGCACACACCCCACCCCACCCCACCCCATCCCCCTTTTCAAAAAAGCCGTATCCGCCCATGCCATTGGTCGGTAAAAGTTCGCGAAAGGTCGGTGTGAAGTTATCCTTAATGGGATGTCTTCAGATCTTTGGTTAGCGGTAGCGAGAACTGAGATTGGATGATTACCTGACTATATTGTGGAAAAAAATATTTTTCAATTTGTTGTCAAATTAAGCGAAAGGAACTCACCTAAAACAGTTGTTGTTGACTGGGTTGTGGGCTGCCATTGTTATTAGGAACCCGTAGCTAATTCCCATTTGATACAAACTCAGTCCGAGTGCCTCCATCCACACCTGAATGTTAAAGAAATCATCATTAGAGTGAGTGAGTGAGTGAGTGAGTGAGTGAGTGAGTGAGTGAGTTTTAACACCCTTGAACAATAGTCCAGTTCTAGACGTTTCAACTGATGAAACCCAGGAGGACGGGTATGGTGATGGGCGTACCCTGATTCAAACCCTCGATCGTCGAAATCTTGCCAGACAAAGGGATGTACAGTTTGAACAGGATTTCAGTTATATCACGACATGTCAGCTCGATGTGGGAGGAAAGCCCTACGTGATGGAGGTTCTGGTCTTTTCTACTGATGGAACCACGAGCACGGGGATGGTGATGACAAACCAAGAATTAGATTCAGAGTATCTCTTATTAGAACCATCGATTAGCGGAACCTGGCAATACTAGGGGAAGTAATTTTGCATATCGAATTGTTGCGGCTTAGAAGATTGGTCAACCCTAACGGTGGTGACAAATATCATTTCTGTAACAAAATGGATGATGCTGTCAAAAATGCATGGATTTGACAATGTTGAACATTATTTCCGTTATATCGCGAGCATGTATTCCTGTTTGTTGTTTAACGCCCCACTCACCAATATTCCAGCTATATGACGGCGGTCTGAAAATAATCGAGTCTGGACCAGACAATCCAGTGATTGACATCATGAGCATCGATCCACGCAATTGGATTACGATGACACGCATCAACCAAGTCAGTGAGCCTGACCACCCGATCCCGTTAGCCGCCTCTTACGACATGCATAGTCGCCTTTTACGGCAAGCATGGGTTGCTGAAGACCTATTCTACCCTGGATCTTTACCGGGCGCATGTATTCTTGATGTAGGATGAAAATCCAAGACGATCCTGATGGAGCACATGTATGGTGCTGCAAAAGGTGGTGCAGAAATACCTAGAAACAGGGCGAACCCACGACCATACTGTTACGTTTCAGACACGCTTTAAATGACTGGGTTACCTGCCCCTGAACCCGTGAAGATTCCGGTGTAGAATAGGTCTTCAGCAACCCATGCTTGCCGTAAAAGGTGACTATGCTTGTCGTAAAAGGAGACTAACGGGATCGGGTGGTCAAGCTCGCTGACTTGGTTGATCCATGTCATCGATTCAAATTGCGTGTTCATGATATCAATCACTTGATTGTCTGGTCCAGACTCGATTATTTACAGACCGCCGTCATATAGCTGGAATTTTGCTGAGAGCGGCGTTAAACAACAACAAACAAACCAAACCAACCAATCTGTCCCTGATGGGACATCAGTGTGTCTATGATGACATAAAGATGTTAGCATTAAAACACTTTACCTTTGGATCAATAAGTTTTTCAAAGTGTGGCATGATGAAGAACATGACACCGTCTACAGCACCGGGGAGGGAGGAACTGCGGACCAGGAACACCAGGATGAGGATGTAGGGACAGGACACTGTGACGTACACGATCTATAACGGACAATATACATTGGTGAGTGAGTTGAAAGCCAAACACTATGCAGGTCTTAGGAGTGTACTACTGCTACTTCTACTACCACTGCTACTTCTACAACTACTACTACCACTACTACTACCACCACCACCACCACTACTACTACTACTTCTGCTAACACTATTCCTAATGCTGTTCCTTCTGCTACTACTACTTCTGTTCGTACTATTATTACTACTACTGTTGCTGCTACTACTACTACTGCTGTTGCTGTAGCTGCTACTACTACTACTACTACTGCTGTTGCTGCTACTACTACTACTACTGCTGCTCGTACTATTATTACAACTACTGTTGCTGCTACTACTACTACTGCTGTTGCTGCTACTACTACTACTGCTGTTGCTGTTGCTGCTACTACTACTACTGATAATACTACTGTTGCTGTCGCTGCTACAGTTACTACTTATACAGATGATGCTCCTACTACTGCTGTTACTACTACTTCTACTGTTACTACCACTACTACTACTTCTAATATTGCTTCTGATATACTGCCAGTACTACTATTACCATGGCTGCTACTACTAGAGCTGCTACTACTACCACAACTACTACTACAACTGCTACTACCACTAATACTGATGCTACCACTACTACTTCCGCTGCAGCTACTACTGCTACTACAACTACAACTTCTACTACTACTTATACTACTACTGTTGTTACTTTTACTACTAAATCAATATGTTATTATTATTATGTTATTGTTCCCCGTCATATATTACATTGCAATATATACCCCCTTACCTTGCCAGATAATTTGACCCCATTGAGTAGGCACAAATATACAGACAGGAAGGTCACCGCAAGACAACCGATCAGCGGCCATCTTAGTGTCCCCATATTCTCCACACCATCTGATATATCTAGAACTTGGTTTCTGAAACACGAACAATGAAAAGTGAGCGAGTGGAATGCGTTTGACTCTGTTATAGCAGCACACATTTCAGTGTGTATACGGCGCATCAGCTTAAGGAGGGAGCAGTGCCCAAAGTGATGTAGGTCCTAGATATTTAACACCTTGGTAAAACCAACGAGGACAAATATGGTGTGGACTAACTCTGATCCATGATTCAAACATGTATCGCATTTGTTTATAGCCCCTATAGACACCATCCCTAAAGGCATTTTAAGCGCCACGGGACGAGGTAGAATAAGAGCCTATTTTGGACAACTGGAAATGTCAAATGTTATGGTAACGGAATTAATATTTTTATATGTAAATTATCAGAAATGTTCAAATGGCTCATAACTATTGTTTTGGAGGTTTCTGAAACGATGAAACATATATGGGTGGCTAAAATGTGCGAACAATTGTGATCTTTTTAACTACAAATGAAATATATGTGCAACTCCAAGATGATATTTTTTATTACATGTTTTTCTATGCCCTATCTACAGCAAAAGTCGAAGACTTGCTCACTTTCAAATATTAGAAAGTGCTTCATAACCTCATGTCAACCTTTTTGACACATTTTTCCTTACCTAATCATTTTGTTGTTGTTGGAAGCCCAACACATACATATGATTAAAAGAATCCTTTTTATGACACATGACAGCTTTTATATCGATATCGAGACGTTAGATTTCATTTCTGAAATCCAAATACTCAATGAGTCATAACAGGTCCTTACCTTCCTTATCCTTTGGTTTTAAATCACTTTTAAATAAATTGATATGTCTGAAGATGTAGACATGATATAATAAATATATCAAAGCAGAAACTGTTTTAAATGTTTGAATGTTTTTAAGTTACACTGACTTTGGTCCATATTATTTAAATAACATACCGAAAGAATTCTTCGGAGGCCGAGATTTCTACATGACTTTCATTTCCAGTCGACAAGTTTGTCAACCTGCCGAGCGTAGTCTTTATCCCGTAGTCTGAGAAGTTGCTGTGAAGGGCTGTGGAGTTGTAGGCTGTCAATGTTCTATTGATGTGTGACGTCCCGTCGACACAGTTCTGTGTGTTCCACTCCTGGTTGCACTGTGTCCAAGGCAGAGTGGGGAAGAAGGAGAAGTAGAGGTAGTATAGAATCCAGGCGAAGAAGACTGGGTAGTAGATGGCGAATAACCAGGATATCATGACTGAACCCAGGCCAACCCCTGCAACATGAGGACATAGAATGAGATTAGAATAATACCTTAATATTGGAGGAAACAACTGCGCTTGGCGAATAGCAAGGGTAACATCACTGAACCAAGTCCAACGTTCAGAAGGAAGGCTAGAAGGTGAGAATAAAGCTAGGCTTGGAGGGACGTAGATGGCTAATGGTCAGGGAGCCACGAGGATGGTATGATAACAGAAGTATACGTTAATAATATCTGAATGCATTTATTCACAAGCGGCATAAAACATCATATGTTTATGACAACAGAACTACAACATGATAAAGAGAGAACACTTTCTTCTGCCGGACTTGAATGAACTTGAGCTTGCGTGTCAAAAGAAGCGTCACTAAAATATGTAAACCGTTCACTGCATTGCATTCGGCGGAGGCTCGAAGAAAGAAAAAGAAGCGTCAATCAAACATGGGAAATAACCCTGCTGAGTGCCTTTATAAGTTTCAGAATATTGACGAGTGCGGTTTTAACCAGGAAGGTATGCGATTAATCAGTGTCACAGTCAAATACGGCCTTTCTTAGATAAACATCATCCGAGATATTATTCCAAAGTTGTTCAAATTCGATGCAGTTTGCAACGCGCTATTTCGACACTAGACCTCCATTAACATGGATTAACACTACCTCGTCAGTGTGACTGGTTTTAGGATGTACATGTATCATATGTCATAGGTTTTTTTCATAATATTGATTTTATAATTCATCCTTGCGTTTGAGAAAATCGGTGGCCTGTAAACCCAAAGTGCGAAGTAAGTAACGTTCTCGTCAACAAAGAAAAGCGTAAAGTACTCAGGCAGCCGGAAATACACACTGATGAGGTGAAATAGATCAATGCATGTATCGACACAGTTATCCTAATCGGTGGTACAGTAAACTACGGTTATACCGAACACGCTTATAACGAAATGGCCGATATAACGAACTTATTTTTAGTCCCGTCCATTTGTTGTATATATATGATGTATCTATGTTTATAACGAACTACGGTTATAGCGAACTTAATTTAGTGGTCCCTTTGAGTTCGTTATAACCGTAGTTTACTGTACTAACACAATCATTAGAGCCACTACTCAAGTTCTTACCTTTGACATCACACTCATCACAGTCTTCAGGCCAGACTGGGTAAGTGCCCTATTGCAATTGTTCGATTTCGTTTTATAATATATTATTTTTATGATTCCGTTTTTACACCAACTGTAACTCGTGAACCGGTTGACAGCATGTAGATTCATGGGAACTAGTACTTCATCACATTCGGGACTAAGAGTGGATATTTCAAAATTAATTCAGTTAAAATGACACAGTTTACCCTATATCTTTTGCGACTGTCAAACTTGGCACGTTCTAGCAGCATGAGTAGCCAGTCACTGTTTGTTCTTTGGCTTATGTCACATGCCATGTACTTTTCCAGTCATATTTGCGTCCGCTGGCCTAGAATCGTGGAATCTTAGTTTTGAGTGTAGAGTATGCGGTCAGGTAATATTCCGTGAATTCGATGCTGTTTCACACGCGAATGAATAATTATGAAATGCGACTTCGCCTCTGTTATAAGAGTAAACTCTTTCTTGTCTTTTAGATTCTTATTTAAAACTTGCCGATGGGTTATACAAATATTTGAAAAAAACAACTCAAGGAACAACTGATTATCTGTCCCTCCTGAAATTAATGTTGAATGACTCTCGCCAAGGCTCGGGACTTACAACTTTAATTTCACTGGGGCACGGCTAATCCGTCATTCCTCGTCACTCGTAAATTATTGTCTATATAATTCCGTATTTAAATTATCTTCTCATATTCTCAAACCCTCACAAAACACCGTCACAAATGTGTGTACAGCAGGTGAGACCTCGTCCGGTGGTCTTAGCTCAGCATGTTTGGAAACATTTACTGAAGGATTTGTTTCAAATCAATTCTACAGATTGAATCTCGTTGACTGACTACAATGCAAATTGGTCCGTTTCAGGAAACTGTGAAGGTATAGTTGATAGAATTTTGGTAATGTATCAAAACAATAAAACACGATGCCCGTATTCTTGACGAACTCCGTCCTAACTATCAGATTCATGGAAGATTGAATAGGAAGAAGATGAGAAGTAGGTGGTGAATAGTGAGGACACCATCACTGACCCATGATCCACACACATACAACACAGGGGAGGGGAGGTCAATGGATCTCCTTCCTAACTCTGACACACATCAACGAAGATGGATCACCAAGAAGATGAGAAGTAGGTGGTGAATAGCGAGGACACCATCACTGACCCATGATACACACACATACAACACAGGGGAGGGGAGGTCAATGGATCTCCTTCCTAATTCTGACACACATCAAAAAGATGGATCCCCATAGAAGATGAGAAGTCGGGGTAGGTGGTAGAAAGGTGAAAAAATAACCCGGATACCAAGCACTGATCCCAAAAGGGAAACAAAACCTACATGAGTGAACAAAAAGTTCTAAGGCTTGTACTGTTATTCAAGTTTTTCCCATCCAACATATGTTCGGTCAGAAATAAAGTGACGCAAAGACCCAGCGGACATCGTGCTACTGTAAACCAATCCTTCGTCATCGAGTTGAACTAACAAAGCTCACCGACTAATCTCCACAATAGATTTATTTTGCTGAGCTGGATCATTGCCATGAGTAATAGTGCAATTCGTAACATAAAACGTCCTTTGTTCTCTGTGTGGAGATAATTAAAACGCGAAATGTTTTAAGGAGAAGCTACATGTTTGTTCCACAGTCTGGTACCCAATGTCAGTCCAGGGCCCACTTGCACAAAGCGATCTTAGCGCTACGACTATTGTAAGCCTATGTTAAAGTATGGGAGTTAAGATCATCTTAGCGCTAAGATCGCTTTGTGCAAGTGGGCCCAGGACTAGACTTTGTAATTCGTGCCCCTATGTCACCAGTCGTTATTTCTATTAACATAGCGTTATCTCTGAATGATTAGGGTAACCGCTAACTGCTAGATGGATAGACATGATAGAATTTACATTAGTAGACAAACAGAGGGTGCTTTGATCGATTTGAATCACACTTGCGGGGAATGTCAATCTGCCACCTACCTCGCAATGGCGGACATATTTTCCATGCGCTGATTGGTCCACCTCGAGAGTACTGGCCCACGAACATCTCCAGATACGTCAGTGGTACAGACCCCAGCAGAGTGAAGATGATGAACGGGATAAGGAAACTACCTGGAAAGAAAGGATGTAAACATATTATGGAGTGTGGGCTGCAATCTGATAGGTTGAAAAGATTTGTTAAATGGGGTTTGATTCCGGAATTCTTCTTTCTAGTTCATTTGAATACTTTTATGATATATAATATATATATATAAAGAAAGGAGAATATATATATATGTTACAGGAAACAAGTATAATCAGTGATAAAGTCTAATGACTGAAAATTTCAGTGATTATGTCTTATAACTGATTCACTCGGTGGTTATGTCTAATTACTGAAATCTAAAAAAAATATATATACTCGTATATTTCATTATATATATATAGTTCTGTCTTTCCGATATACTTTTCATTGCATCCACTACAAACAATCAAGTAAATAACATTTCTAGTATCACAAGTCATATTTTGTTTTACAGTAAATTTAGTGTCCTTGGTAATTTGGACTGAACAGCCTTCAATTATATTGCTGCAAGTTATATTAGGCAACGTTTGTCACCGCACTTAGAAACCTGTGGAGTGATGACAACAGAATCAAATTTAGAACTTGTCAAAATCTTTCTAAGATTTTTGGGTTGTCTTTGGCTGTTGATAATTTTGTATTTGCTCAATATCTTCTCCATGTTAATACTTTGATTCAAAATAGGCAGGTATCGTTGAACCATGGATAATGTTTCTTCATGATTAGGGTTGAAGGTAGATACTAGAGTTAAATTATTCCCCATATTGTTTTCTTCAGACTTTTCTCTCAGTTTTAGTTGCTTAATACTTAGCGCCTTCTGTATGCTATCTTCAATTAGCTTTGCGGGATAATTTTGATGCAGTAGGAAACTCTTAAGTTCAGCAAGGCGAGTAGTTTTAACATCATTCCCGGAAACAATGGTAACAAATACATCTTGCGAGACAGTAAGGGATATTTCGTTTTGTATGATACGGGTGACATGATCCAAAATCCAAATATTGGTGCGTATCAGTATCTTTATCAAAGATATCAGTTTGTACAAATCTCCCAGATATTAAATTGATTCCTACATCGAGAAAGGTTAAACTGGATTCGCTTTTTTCCATAGTGAAATTGAGTGACGCATTAAGTGAATTTAAAATTTCATGAACAGCTGTAAGTTGACTTTCGCTGGTTTTTAATATGACAGTCGTCTAAAAACCTTTTCCATGAGGATTCAATTTGTTCTTTCATAGATTCACCAAGAGTGTCTCTCACCTTATCATAAAACATATTCTCTAAAAATCCCAACATAAGGGTTGCATAAGTAGGGTATAGTATAAAAGTATGAATGAACTAGAACTATATGTATGTATGTATGTATGTATGTATGTATGTATGTATGTATGTATGTATGTATGTATGTATGTATGTATGTATGTATGTATGTATGTATGTATGTATGTATGTATGTATGTATGTTTGTATGTATGTATGTATGTAATATATATATATATATAAATATATCATAAAAGTATTCAAATGAACTAGAAAGAAGAATTCCGGAATCATGTGATATATGCAAACCTAATTATATTTACAAAATAATTAAATATAAAACGTCCATTCAAGGGAATAAGGGCAAAATACATTATAGCAGTGGAATGAATAAACCACTAAAAATCAGTGATGATACAAGGTATTCGCGAAAACGTTAAGCATGTCCCGCCCTAGTCTGTCATACAGACCCAGAAAAATATATCCAATACAGCCAATGCAAGTCCATAATGTTTGGATTACTGAAGTATCTTAAAATTAAGAAAGTCTCTGAAAATGAAGTAAGTCTCTGGGGTCCTTTTTATTATATGTTATAACTATAATTTAACAACTGGGTTCTGTGTGTGTGTGTGTGTGTGTAAAACATGTTCATTTCAGAGACTTGATGTCAATCAAGTCCCGCCCTATCGGTAACACCCGTCATGTCTGCTGCACCTCCATATCAACCTGTGTGGTATGGTAACCTGTATATATTTGTAAAGCCATGTCTACTGCAGCTCCATATCAACCTGTGTCATATGTTAGCATGTACATCTTTGTAAAGCCATGTCTGCTGCAGCTCCATATCAACCTGTGTGGTATGGTAACATGTATATCTTTGTAAAGCCATGTCTGCTGCACCTCTATATCAACCTGTGTGATCTGTTAACATGCATATCTTTGTTAAGCCATGTCTGCTGCACCTCTATATCAACCTGTGTGATCTGTTAACATGCATATCTTTGCGAAGCCATGTCTGCTGCACCTCTATATCAACCTGTGTGATCTGTTAACATGCATATCTTTGTGAAGCCATGTCTGCTGCACCTCTATATCAACCTGTGTGATCTGTTAACATGCATATCTTTGCGAAGCCATGTCTGCCGCACCTCCATATCAACCTGTGTGACCTGTTAACATGTATATCTTTGTGAAGCCATGTCTGCTGCACCTCTATATCAACCTGTGTGATCTGTTAACATGCATATCTTTGTGGAGACATGTCTGCTGCACCTCTATATCAACCTGTGTGATCTGTTAACATGCATATCTTTGTGAAGCCATGTCTGCTGCACCTCTATATCAACTTGTGTGATCTGTTAACATGTATATCTTTGCGAAGCCATGTCTGCTGCACCTCTATATCAACTTGTGTGATCTGTTAACATGTATATCTTTGCGAAGCCATGTCTGCCGCACCTCTATATCAACCTGTGTGATCTGTTAACATGTATATCTTTGTAAAGCCATGTCTGCTGCACCTCTATATCAACTTGTGTGATCTGTTAACATGTATATCTTTGTGAAGCCATGTCTGCTGCACCTCTATATCAACCTGTGTGATCTGTTAACATGTATATCTTTGTGAAGTATTGTCTGCTGCACCTCTATATCAATTTGTGTGGTATGTTAACCTGTATATCTTTGTAAAGCCATGTCTGCTGCACCTCCATATCAACCTGTGTGATCTGTTAACATGCATATCTTTGTGAAGCCATGTCTGCTGCACCTCTATATCAACCTGTGTGATCTGTTAACATGTATATCTTTGTGAAACCATGTCTGCTGCACCTCTATATCAACTTGTGTGGTATGTTAACCTGTATATCTTTGTAAAGCCATGTCTCCTGACGTCTATATCAACATGTGCGATATGTTAACATGTATATATTTGTAAAGCCATGTCTGCTGCACCTCTATATCAACCTGTGTGATCTGTTAACATGCATATTTTTGTAAAGCCATGTCTGCTGCACCTCTATATCAACCTGTGTGGCATGTTAACATGTATATCTTTGTAAAGCCATGTCTGCTGCACCTCTATATCAACCTGTGGGATCTGTTAACATGTATATCTTTGTAAAGCCATGTCTGCTGCACCTCCATATAAACCTGTGCGATATGTTACCATGTATATCTTTGTAAAGCCATGTCTGCTGCACCTCTATATCAACCTGTGGGATCTGTTAACATGTATATCTTTGTAAAGCCATGTCTGCTGCACCTCCATATAAACCTGTGCGATATGTTACCATGTATATCTTTGTAAAGCCATGTCTGCTGACCTCTATATAAACCTGTGCGATATGTTAACATGTATATCTTTATAAAGCCATGTCTGCTGCACCTCTATATAAACCTGTGTGATCTGTTTACATGTATATCTTTGTGAAGCCATGCCTGCCGCACCTCTGTATCAACCTGTGTGATCTGTTAACATGTATATCTTTGTGAAGCCATGCCTGCTGCACCTCTATATCAACTTGTGTGATATGCTATTATGTATATCCCTGCAGAGCCGTATTTACTGCACCTATTTATATATCGGTATATTTGAACAAACACTCTACATAACTGGTTCCAGAGTGCCAAAATAGGCTAGGCGGAAGAATATATTTGCCAAGAACATAACAAATCACTTGTGTGGGCATTACATTAGAGCGCGAAAACCCACAAGGAGACCGATACTGGTACTTCTCGACAGGCAACGATGTATCCGATGGACACGTCAACGTCTAAGATGGACCAGGTTTAGGTGGTGTAACGTCGTCTTTAGTGACGTGACGAATCACGTTTTAATGTCAACGATGCTGATGGGCGTGTTCGAGTGTATCGTCGAGCTGGTAAACGTTTCTATGATTGCTGTGTAATGCAAATGGTCGCAGGTGGAAGTGTTATGATTTGGGCAGGGAGTACTGGACGGGGTAGCACCGACCTTCACATTGTGGATGGCAATATCACGGGGATGAGATTTTGACTCCAATTGGCTCCAAATGCTCTCCGACAGTACATGGCATTTCAACACGACAATGCGAGTCAACATGTTGCCCCGATCTGTACTGCATTCCAGGCCCAAAGCAACATCGATGACTTACCGTGGCCAGTATGTTCCCAGGTCCAATAGAGCATCTATGAGACAAGCTGGCGCATGCTTTGGTACAGTAATGGCAGAACATCAGAATGGTCAAGAGTGTCATCGAGTCGATGAGACGACATTGTCAAGCATGCATAGACTCCAGGGGAGGACAAATGCTTTACTGAACTGTTTGATTAGAGTTAAGAATGACACGTGTGATTTTGTCCTCTGAGGGTGCATGTGTTTGATGGCACGTCGTTTGAACTGTAAGTCTCACAGCTGAACAGACCACTTTTGTTGCAACATCACATGGAGCTTCTACATATGCTGTATATTTTATACATTGACGTTTCCGACTCAATAGATTACGGTCGATTTGTCATGGTGTATCTGTATTTGTTGAATATATGTTAACATTTGGGTATTTGTGAGGCTTATTAACTTCATTCTTTTTGTATATCGGATAAGTGATGGTTGACTGTTTAACCTGCTCTTACAATTTCAAGTACATCATACTTAAAAACAATCTACCTCCCGGGGCAAATGAAATTAAACGTACTGCAAATTCCAAGGTCAAACGTCACCACGCGACTCTTTGTATGACATGCCGGAATGTACGAATGGTCGTGAATGTCAACTTACCCCCGCCATTCCTTGCACACATGTAGGGGAACTTCCAAATGCTTCCAACTCCGACCGTGTAGCCCATCAATGTCAGGAAGTAGTCCAGTTGGTGCGACCATATTTCCCCGCCCATCCTGGATCCAAAACTTGTATTAGTTCATAAGCAAACGAAACGAGACACTGCAACACTTAAATAGGAGACACAGTTTATACCAGACCGTGCATGCCATGGACCCTGGGACTCCTGTTGTCTCCTGTGCAGACTCCTGTTGTCTCCTGTGCAGACTCCTGTTGTCAAAGTAATCAATGGAGCAAAGAATTAGTATAATATCTAAGATATTTCTTAATCTAAGAACTAAGGACTAAGAAGCTATGTGAATGTGACGTAAGAATTGTGTGTGGATTTAAGAGTTATTATGGCTTAAAATTCTTTTAAGAACGTTTGTGAATACCGACAAAGGTTCTAATGAAATAATGCCAGTATTGATGCTTAACAATGGGGTTCATTAAACCTTAATAATGCTATAAGGTTTGTTTGAGCTGACTGATCCCCTATAATATTATTTTACAATCATATCTACGTTATGGAAGCCCAGCTACCAGTAATCCCATGCCTGTTGCATGTTGACAGTTTTATTTAGACCAGATAAAAGCACTAGTTTATTTCTATACACTAAATTTCATATTTTACTTCCCTTGTGTCGCCAAAGTCTCGCGATAGTGACGGGATTTTACTTCGAAAATGACATCAAAGTGAAGTCATAGTGATGAAATAGTGACTCAAAAGTGTTCTCATCCTGACAAAGGGGATGAAAGTGTATCGTAATACCGCGATAGTGATGCAACAGTGGCGGGAAAAGAGGGGAACTTATTTGTGAAATGCTGTGTATGTCCATGTGGCATTTACACATTAAAGTTTATACTTGGAACGAGGTATACTATATTTTCCTTAATTATTTGTTATTTTAAGATATAAAACTGAAAAAAAGCCACATTTCGATTTTTTCCAAGTACCAGAAACGCCACTTACCAATTTGACAGAAAGTACCTGGACAGTACAGGGATCAGTGTGTATAGTAATTTCAGATATGATAAAACCCTTATGCACTCGCGCACGCACACAACCACACACACTATAAACTATTTCATACTCATTACACTGTTAGGTTTATGTTATATTTTAAATAAGGGCAAATGATGCTTGATTAGGATTGCACTTTACAGTTAACAACTGTATCTGCCATATCACAGCCGGACAAGTTGATAACGTTGTACAAAGATACCACTCAGCGACTTGAATGAATGGCCTCTATAAATGGATGAGTTTAAATGTCAGAAATTAATGCTTTGCTTGGTGATGAGGATGCCTAAAGTTTAGATCTTCAATTATTGAATCCATTTTCACAGTTGCAAATGGCGACAGAGCCTCCTGATGGACTAACTCGCTTTCTTGTCTCGTATTATCGCTTTATCGTCTCGTATTATCGCTTTCTCGTGACCGTATTTGAAGTCAATAGACCGATGTCCCCTCTGGCCCACCATACGATTTGGGGATTAACCTTGACTCTTCCATCAAACTTAACGTGCGTCGGCTTTAGCTTGTGTCCTTACCAAGGTCACATATAAATTCGAGGCTACAAAGAAAACGTCTTTGGGATTTTCCAGGCGTGAGTGAACTGAGTTTAACGCCACTTTGAACAGTATTTTAGTTATGTCACGGCGTGTCAGCTTGACGTGGTTAGAAAACCTGAAATGATGTAATTCTTGGACGTTTACCACTTCGGTGAGGCCCGCAACCACGGCAAACCTATAGAAATAATCGGGGCGAAAAGGGAATCGAACCCACAATCATAGGTTTCTGGCATGCACAAGGGACGCAACCAATACTCTGCACAGCGAATTGCGGCTCTTAGACGTCTGTGCCATGGAACATGGAAATATGATGTGACTGCATTTATGTACTCAATCACTCAAATGAAAGATAATTTCGATATTCAATATGATACAGTTCAGTTAAAAGTTGTGTACCAAAACAGTTTTACTTTGGTCATAAAATTAGATTTACTGAATAAAATAATTGTAGTTGTTATTCAATTTTTTACCTATTTGAGTAGTCTTTAACAAGCATTGTGTTAACTGCTGTTGCATTTTTAAACGGAATAAAAAAGCAGAATGGAATTTGGACCTAATCTTGGCAGACTTATTGTGTTAAAATATGCCTGCACACGCGTAAATCCAAAGCTTTTTATCTATACGTGAACGAAATAATATTATGATCAAGTGCATGTCTCACAGGGCATAGTCCAAATGACATCATCTCACTTGACATTAAAATACTAGCTTTTGATTGGCTAAGGAGAGGGCAATTATTTTCCATTGTAGTCCGCTCATGTACCCCATCCGAGAAATCAATCGTAACACGCCTTAGGTAACTTTCTTTTCTCGCGTACGAGTCGCATAAGTATCGTTGAGCTGAAATGAACCGATGTTCAATGCATTGGGTAAAGGGAAGTAACTCGGTTTGAATGAATGTGGGCGAGACAAATTCGTTGCCAACCGATTACTCGGGGCATATGGTATGAAGTACCCCATGTGTGAGTCTATGTACCCCGGGCCGTACACAGGCTCACAGATAACGTACACACCATATTCCTAGATTGATAACTGGGAAGGGTACCCATGTTAAACTGAGGCATGGTATCTCAATGAGCTAGCACTATAAAACCGGCATTAGTCCGGACTAGTACAAGCAGACACACAGATGCATTCACGTGCTAAAATAAGCGCAATATTTTTTTTAGGCGACGTAAAGCCCTTTTCATCTCACCACCATTTTCATGTAACTTGTGCGTGACGTACACAATCACTTTGTCTGGTAACGCGAGTGAGTGAGTGAGCTGTGTTCTACGCTGTTTTGAAGAGTATTTCAGCAATACCACTGTGTGTCAAGTTAATATTGAATGAGGGCCCCAGGTAGAAATTCCGTGTTATGTAGCCCCCAACTAATGCTGGACAGTTGCTTGTGTGTTTGTTTGTTGTTTAACGCCGCACTCAGCAATATTCCAGCAACATCACGGCGGGGGACACCAGAAATGGGCTTCACACATTGTACCCATGTCGGGCATCGAACACGGGTCTTCGGCGTGACGAGCGAACGCTATAACCAGTAGGCTACCCGACCGCCCCTTCCAGCTATATCGTGTCTGAACCAGACAATCCAGTGATTGACATCATGAGCATCGATCTACGATGGCTGTGATATTGTCGAGTGCGGCCTTAAACAACAACCAACCAGCGTTTGACGTTAATCACGTTGATGAAACCCTTTAGCACATCTGGTGCTGCCAAACCATTGATCACAATCAGGATGAATCTGGGATTCGAACCTTGATAAGTTCATGCTGGATGTTTGCAATCAACCTGCTTTTCATAGAGCCCATTTAATTAAAGAGAGTTGTCGGAACCTGATCACATGAAAAATTCAAAATTGTATTTGACGTCACAGCACAATGAGGTATACTGTTTTAGGTAAGTGTACATTTATGCAATTTAAAAGAAGTTTACCAGTAACGCATTAACATGGAACTTTACAAATTTGATAAGTTTCAAGCATTACGTTCCCTCAAAATGTAACGAATATTTTCCAAACGAAGGCATACTTAAAACCGTTAAGAAAAGGTAAACACTTAGGGGCACAGTGGGCCCCTTGTCAAAGGGCCCGCAATCCGCTGTGCAGAGTTCTGCCCCTTGACCTCAGATCATGGATTCGAATCACAGATTCTTTCTGTTTATATTTCTAGGTTTGTCAGCACCAAACCATGCTCGTGCGTTTCACCAAAGTGGTAAATGTCTAACACACGCCTCACAGGGACGTTTCTACAACATTAAGCTGGCATGATGTGATATGAATGAAATAATGTTTAAAGCAGCGTGAAATCCAACTCACTCACGAACTCTACCTGTTTAAATCGTATAAAGGCACAATAACTCACGTCAGTTTAGTCAGTTGGTCAGTTTCCACTACGTCACCAGACTACAATCCTATGTTATGATCGGGTGACAAGCAAACACAAGGAATAGGTCCAATTTACATGCAGAATGCGGTTAAGAGCATTTTGGAAAAGATAATGTCGCTGCTCGGATTCCTATTACAGACAGGTTATTGTTTTTATGTCACTTGTTCAAATTATTTTTTTCTCTGAAACGTGAAGCCGAACAATTTTAACTCAAACATATTTTTTCAAATCATCCGATCTGTCCAGCGAACCATTTATTTTGCTCAAAATCTTATAAAAGTCGTACCCTCGGGAGCGGTGATTTACACATTCTGACATTAGCACACACATTTACATGTTTTTAACTGTTAACCAATTCAATTACTAAATATAATTAAATACGGAGTAATGGTAATTTGATATTGTTTCAAGACTGTTACATCATTGGTTGAGTATGTAATATAACCTGCTATCACGAGATGGCATTAAATAACATCCTTTTTACCGATGTATTGAACTAAATATTGTCATGCGTATGACATTCTACTGAGATTTTCCATTCATTGTTTGGAGGAATGCTGTTAAGGCGAGTTGGTCGCTTAAACTCGGTTAATCAAAGCCAGATGTATTCCACCTCAGTCTGAGATTCGTTGATAAACATACGTCAACAAACACATTTATGATTGAATACAGACGAAGACCGACCGAATGAGTGAATGAGTTTAACTCCGGTTAGAACAGTATTTCAGTTATATCACGACGTGTAAGCTTGATGTGGATGGGAAACCTGAAATGAGGAGGGGCGTGGGGGTGTGGGTGGGGTGAGTTGGTGGGGGTGGGGGTGTTGGGGAGGGAGAATGCTGCTGAGGTTTAGTTTTCTGGAACACCTGGTGTCATCACTGATTTCCAAAAGGTCATTCATATAGTTTTCACAGCTACTTTGCCCATTCCGCCAAATGAAATATGTTTCGATGGATAATCAAGACTGGTTGTCCTACTGCATTGACGTTTAAATAGTTAGAGGGGGTACTACGCAATGCGTTTCTGGGGGAAAGGAACACATATTTTTTATCACATCATTTTTATCACATCATTTTCAGAACACCCAACATGTCGAGTACATAATTAATTTTGAGGGGTAAACTAGAATTATGTTGTTTTCCTTTTTTGCCACAAAATCAAAAGGTTTTAGCCGTTTGCATTTGTAAAACTACAAGGCAGGTATGGTGCTGAATATCTACAACTATTACCAGGGCGAATCTAAGATTCGAACCCATGGTCATAGGCTTCTTGAAAGCCCAAGGGGCACAACTCTGCAAGTAATGAAGTTGATTTAAGTAATTAATTGCGCATATAAAATCTGGAATCAAAGTTATGCATTTATATAAACTTTGCGAATCAGAACAGAAAAAGAAAGTAACATTAGATGATATATTCTCACCTTACTTTCCTATCAGTGGACAAACAGTTTAGTAAGACCAGAGGTTAGTCACCAATAACATAGTTCAGAACTTTCCGTCCAGTTCAAGTGGCATCTAAATAAGAATGAACTTGAACCGTGCCTTGACCAAACTGAAGCGGTTGTGAGGGGATAAAACTAGTTTAGGCTCATTGTCCTCGTACAATTGACCTCGAATGAATGTCACAAAATTGAAGCAGTAGTTCATGATCTATACAGCATAATATCTTACCCTATCATTATTATTTTATTTTATTTATTTATTTATTTATTTGTTAGCTTAATTCTACAGTGAGTGAGTGAATATTGCTTAACGCCGCATCAGCAATTTTGCAGCTATTCGCGGCGACTTAATTCTACACGTTAGGTTCCAAACTCTATTTAGTGTTGTCAGATCTACTGGTACCATAGTTCTACATAGAAGAAAATGTATGTTTAATTCCTCAATGTTTCAATGTTTACTCATTTCGAAAGATACTAGGTTTTGCATGTTCATGATCTGTGACGACAAATTTCTCTTATAAGGCAGTGCACGCGAGCATGCATTAATTACACATTAATTCGTCATCGTCATTCGTGGTCATGCGAGGTAAAGGTTTTCCTCTATGTGGCGTCATGTCCAAATCGTCTTGCTCAGCATAACATCATGGTTTGTCATAACGACGCCTTCCTCACCACCTTACCTGTAGCAGTGGCGAGTCTTTTTCAAAATGTAAGGATTGAACTATCCATTCTTGGCGAACATATCTGTTTCAGTCTTAGCGAGTCTCGTAAGATTGACAGTGTGTGCGTTAACAACCATACCAAGTTCCGAACTGTAGATTAAGTTTCCTTAGAAAAGGTCTTCAGCAACCAATGTTTGCTGTAAAAGGCGACTAACGGAATCGGGTGGTCAGGCTTGCGGACTTGGTTGATACATGTCATCGTATCCCATTTGCGTGGATCGATGCTCATGATGACAATCACTGGATTTGTCTGGTCCAGACTCGATTTATTTATATAGCTGGAATAGCAAGGAAATTCCAGACAAAACCTCAACTGAACCCAGACAGAACCTCCACTGAAATCATGCAGAACCTTCACTATAATCATGCAGAACCTTCACTGAAATCAAACAGGACCTTTACTGAAACAATGCAGAACCTTCCCTGGAAGCATGCAAAACCTTCACTGAAACCATGCATGTACAACCTTCACTGAAACCATGCATGTACAACCTTCACTGAAACCATGCATGTACAACCTTCACTGAAACCATGCATGTACAACCTTCACTGAAACCATGCATGTACAACCTTCACTGAAACCATGCATGTACAACCTTCACTGAAACCATGCATGTACAACCTTCACTGAAACCATGCATGTACAACCTTCACTGAAACCATGCAGGACCTTCACTGAAACCATGCATGTACAACCTTCACTGAAACCATGCAGGACCTTCACTGAAACCATGCATGTACAACCTTCACTGAAACCATGCATGTACAACCTTCACTGAAACCATGCAGGACCTTCACTGAAACCATGCATGTACAACCTTCACTGAAACCATGCATGTACAACCTTCACTGAAACCATGCAGGACCTCCACTGAAACCATGCATGTACAACCTTCACTGAAACCATGCATGCACAACCTTCACTGAAACCATGCATGTACAACCTTCACTGAAACCATGCATGTACAACCTTCACTGAAACCATGCATGTACAACCTTCACTGAAACCATGCATGTACAATCTTCACTGAAACCATGCATGTACAACCTTCACTGAAACCATGCAGGACCTCCACTGAAACCATGCATGTACAACCTTCACTGAAACCATGCATGTATAATCTTCACTGAAACCATGCAGGACATCCACTGAAACCATGCAGGACCTTCACTGAAACCATGCATGTACAACCTTCACTGAAATCATGCAGAATCTTCACTGAAACCATGCAGAGCCTTCACTGAAACAATGCAGGAACTCCACTGAAACCATGCATGACCTTCACTGAAACCATGCAGAACCTTCACTGTAATCATGCAAAACCGTCATTGAAACCATGCAGGAACTCCACTGGAATCATGCAAAAACTTCACTGAAACCATTTAGAACCTTCACTGAAACCATGCAGGACCTCCACTGAAACCATGCATGTACAACCTTCACTGAGACAATGCGGAACTACACTGAAACTATGCAGATTCTCCACTGATCCATGCATAAAAAAACATATGTTTCCACTGAACCTAGGCTAAACCTCCAATGAAACCATGCAGGACCTCTGCTGCAACCATGCAGGACCTCCACTGGACCGTACCCAGAGAAACCCTCCACGGAAACCATGCAGGACCTCCACTGAAACCATGCATGCACAACCTCCATTGAAACGATGTATGCACAACCTCCACGGAAACTATGCATGCAGATTTTCCACTGCAACCATGCATGAAAAAAACCAGTGAACCTCCAGTGAAATAATGCATGCACAACCTTCGCTAAAATTATGCATGCATAGTCTCCACTGAAACTATGGCAGGGTAGCAACAAGTGCCATCTTTTTAACGTCTTTTGGTATGATGCCGACCTCCACTGAAACCTTGCAGAACCTCCACGGAAACCATGCATGCATATTCTCCACTGAAACCATACATGCAGGGCTTCAAATGAATCCATGCATGCAGAACCCCAACTCTAATAAAATCATCATTATGGCTATGAGTCACAATGAGTTACATATATTTTATAACAATTTACAATATAAAAGGATCCTAAATGTCGATAATCTGTGTCACCTTGGGGTTACCTCAATCCCTTGGGGTTACCTCAACCCCTTGGGCTAACAATGGCACAGCTCCGGACTCCCTAAAACAGTATCCGTCGGCATAACTAATATTAATACGCATATTTCTGGAAAAAAGGAAACCTTTAGAAACAAATCTTCAGGACAATACACGTGATACGTTCATGTGTGCTAACACGAGTGAGATGTGTTTTAAACATTTCATGCTCAGAAAGAAAATGTCGACATTCATGATTTTCATGTAGTTTGTTCGGTCTTCGGGGTAAAATGGAGATCAGGGTAAGTAACAGTAAATGTCGGTTCCCTACCTGTTTTCTCTATACTTCTGTTGTCTTTAGGAGAAATCGGTTACGTCCGGTGCGTTACGAACAGGGTTATTCAAGCTGTGGAAATTTCCACTGAGAACGGGAATATAGTCCGTATCAGGGCAATACCATCAAGCTTGTGAGGCATGACCTAACAAGGACAGGTTTACAGGATAAGTTTTATTAACCTACTATCATGTTAACTGTTTTGCATGAAAAAAAGATCATTAAAGGATGCTGGGAATCAAATACTTGAGGATTTGTTGGGTAGCTTGTTCACAGAAGACATAGATCTCCATGTAAGGTGAGAGGAGGTGAAATGTGGTCTAAAGTCGCGTCCAACATTATTGCACTTATATATATACACAAGTATGATCCAATTGCAGAAGAGAGTATATATATATATATATATATATATATATATATATATATATATATAGTGTGTGTGTGTGTGTGTGTGTGTGTGTGTGTGTGTGTGTGTGTGGCTGCGCGTACTATTCCGGACTAATGCCGATTTTATTGTGCTAGCCTAATGGGATACCATGTCCCAGTTTAACATGAATACCCCACTCAGATACTGTATACTGACTCCGAGCCGACCAGTCCTTGTTTTAGCCCCTTAATGCCGAGCGCCAGACGGGGTAACAACATCTTTTAAGTCTTATGGTACGACGCTTCCGGAAAACCCTATACCTTCCGCTCTCCGGGGGGGACGCTCTGACACTAGACCACGGAGGCACACTCCACGTCAGGATGTGATCTGTGTGAAAGAGATCGGTTATATTACCTTACTCCATTTCGATGACAGAGTAGCCTTGTGGTTAAGTGGTCACGCCGCTTGATTCTTCTCATGGGTACAGTGGTACGCTAATTTCTGGTGTTCCCATTGGTGGATTCTTGCGTAAAATAATATTCCCTCACTTAATTCGATAAACAGGAAGCATCGACAAATGTGTATTATTTCGTATGTATTACTTTATAATCGTTCAAGAGGGAACACGGCTGGCCCACTGGTCTCAGGCACCAAAATACTCCACACAGAGTTGCGTCCCTTATGGGTGCCAGAATGCAAAGATCGTCGGCTCAAATCCCACATTGTCCCTGATTATGATTCTTGGACTATTTGCACCGTACGGCTCGTGGGGTTCACCAAGTCGGAAGCGTCCAGGGCCGTCATAACTTCCCATCAGGTTGATATGTCTGAAGTATTGTTAAATTCGGCGTTTGCGCAACTCATTAACTCGCTCGAGATGTTAGTTTATACTGAGATACAAATATAAAATGAGAGGTAAAGTTGTTAAATTTGATTATGTCTATTTTACCATCACTCATTCCTGCAACAGTTTGTAAAAAGTAATATGTGGCTGGGAAATCATAATTTAGTTAAAAAAAATAATTTGCGACCACATGACCCCTTCCATGTTAAACGTGTTGTAAGTTTGTGCCGAATACTGTAAAAATGTAGAACACATGGTCCGTAGTTAATGTGAGCCATCGAGCGATGCCCAAAGGCTGGAAAGCCTCAACTTGGATAAACACCATTTTGTCATATCCAACTATTCTACAGTTCATTTCGGGCTAGTGGCTTTAGTCGAATAACAAGATTTTAGGAGAAAACAACTAGTCTGTGTAGATTTTCGCTAGTCTCGGAAACATGGACCAGTGGCCGTGTCGGATCCTGCTAACGTAACACGTGACCTAAATACGTCAAATGGAATAACAGAAGGTCGTCATATAGCTGAAATATTGCTGGAGTGCGGGGTTATACAACAAACAAACAAACAAAACCTATAATCAGTGTTATAATTACCATTTAAGACTTATTAAAGCCTCAATGTGGGATAACCAGCGACGTGAATGAACGATCAGTGGTTACCTTTAATAACAGCCATAACAAGGTGTGCTGGCCGTAAAAGGCCAGTCGGCAGAGTGGAAAGAGCGGCCTGGAGAGTTGTTCACAGCGTCAACGTCTGATTTGCCCCAACTCCCAATGTGCCTAGCTTCAGATGGATCGGGTGATCAGA